ACTGAATTCCTAACTTTCTAAATACTGAATTCTCTACTTTATAATTACTGAATTCACAACTTTATAAATACTGAATTCTCAACTTCATATATACTGAATTCTCTACTTCTTAAATACCGAATTCTCAACTTTATAAATACTGAATTCTCTACTTCATAAATACTGAATTTTCAACTTCATAAATACTGAATTCTCTACTTCATAAATACTGAATTCTCTACATCATAAATACCGAATTGTCAACTTTATAAATACTGAATTCTCTACTTCATGAATACAGAATTCTCTACATCATAAATACTGACTTCTTAACTTTATAATTATTGAATTTTCAACTTGCATGATGTATAGTCCGCAATGCTACCAGATTGAACTTGTAGTGTTTGTGTCACATGCACACCATTCAGTTTAACACTGTTACAGACTATCCTAAATCACCCTGCTTATAAATTGACTTTGAAATATAATCGTTTTTCTGCTACTCCAAATTCACAAGTCGCGTTGCCAGACACGCAATGTAGTAAGCCAGTGACAATGTATTAGCTTGTGATTAGGTCAGTTTATGGGAAACCACTAGTCGTAGGTCCATGATATTTGGTATGCAGTTGTATGAGCATTGGCACATCGCATTTTTCCATGGATATTATTTTACAGAGGAGTGCTGACTGCTATTGCTGGTAAAACACTCGGGGAAGAAACGTCCATTAGCAGTGACATTAACCCAGTGATAAAAACTCTTCAAAGATACCAGGCTTATAATTTAGTCGTCAGACGCGCTTTTCGTCTACATATAAATAATCAGTGGCACTCAAAATAAAACAGTTGGAAGGAAAAATCAAACACAGGTACTTTTCTGTAAAACTATATATACCTATCTACTTTTACCTAAAAGTATTAAGGATAGGTATGTAGGTATATTTTTTACCGAGACAAGTGTCTGTGAAATCAAATACGATTTTGAAGCGATTGAAAACGAAAAATTCAAAACAGATGTGCCAAATCTGGTTAGACCATCAATGCATTTGGTTAAACCTTAAGTGTTTTATACATTGATTTACAGAAAATGGCTGTAGAAGGGTGACACGCATTTTGGATGTGTGATATAAGGGGTAAAAAAAATAAAATGGGGTTGTGGGATATAGGGTGTTAAAAGCTGGGACCTGAGAAAAAGAAGGAAAAAAAGTGGGATTTAGTAAAAAAATACAATAAACAGTTGGATTTGAGAAATGAGTACCCCGTGTCACTCCCTCGTGGTACATGATACATGATAAATCACACCACAAGAGAGTTGACTGCTAGGCTCATGAGATACACTTGGGGACGAAAGATATCTTTCGTAATACTCCGTCATCTATTTTTTTCTGTTAATTTATAAAACAATAGTATATAGATACAGGTCATCATAGAAAGTTGGTGTTTAGACAATCTTATGAGACTAAATCTAGATCTTCCCAATTGTAAGAAAATTCATGTGGAAATTATAAATGCGCTTATCCTGCAATCGAACATTCTTCTATACAAATGTAGGTGTACAGTTAACACGAAGCTATAAACAACGTATAGTATAAGTTTACTGATAACCTGCTTCTGTTGCGAGCTTATGGCAATGTTCAAATTACAGTTTATGTCACAGACCAATTTAGGGTCCTCATCTCGCTCCGCGTTTAACTCGTTTGGGATTAAACATAAATAAACGTTTAAGCTCAATGATAAATTTTAAGATAAAAATAATATAAAATGTATTTATACTCCCTGTGAAACAGGAGAAAAGCTCAACGAGCCTCGTTTTCCCCTCTATTTCTAAAGTTTGTAGAAATAAATTTTATATTTTCCTACACTGTACGAATATTGTATATTTATCAGAAATTAAAGTTTATTGAAAGCTTCATTACAAAAATAGTACAATATTCTGTGGTATGTTATCCCATTTACATGTTGACAGTTTTAATTCAAAACAGGATCTGATACATACTTTAACAAGACAAGTAAGTACATTTGTTTTCTTCTCGGAAAAGAGATCGCAACCCTGCAACATTAAACTTTTCTAATCCGTCTGAATGTGTCAAGAAACATTCAGTTTTTAGGTGTTTTCTTCTGAAATTGCAAAATTCAACAGGATATATAGAAACTGTTAATAGTTGTTTATTTCATAAGCTTACATTTTAAATATCAAATTTATAACGATTATAAAATATGCCATTTTCAATAGGATAAAATTCAAATTTTGATCTATTTTATACCATTTTATAAACTGGGTAGATTTGATTGTTCGCTATTTATTCGCTCGACTGAGAATATCTCATCTCAAAACGTATTAAGAAGGATTATGCTAATTTTCAACAGTTTCGCTATTATTTGATAAATGTCCCATTTAAAATGAAAAACCTTGGGTACCATAAGCATATGATATATTAAAATGAGAAAGAGTAGAATTGATGTAAAATGTCATTTTATCAATAAAACATTTTCGTGATAAATCTGTGAGATTCGTGTTTCTTTTTTCATTTTATATGGTGCTGTACTTGGGGAGTATTGTGTGAAATTTAGTTTTTCAGTGCAGTATATCAAGATGGGTTAATCCAGTTTGATGATGACAAGTTTTGTTGCCCAAATAACCATAGTATAAAAAGAGTTTGAATTATTATAAATAGATTTCAATCTTTATAGACCACACATGGGTACTTGCATTCATTTTATATAAACTTCTCAACATAATGGAGAGACGCTGACATTATATTTCAGTATATATTCCTAGTTTGCATAAACGAAATGCGATTCTTCGATAGCGTCTTGAACTAGGTCACTGCATGCACAGTATACGTATTTGCATCGATTTCAGACGCCTTGATCTTGCCCTCTTAAACTTTTCAAAAACCATTTCTAGACAATAGTAATTTCATGTTGCTTCAATCCGTATTTCTCAGTTTTGTGCCAATACCAAAAAAAGACAAATATTTTTATCATAACGCGATCTGTAGTATATGTTTTACAGTTTTTTCTTTGAACTAATTTCCTCTACAAACCGTGTGGGAAATTTTGAAATGTTTCTCTAAATTCTTTATATTGACAGCAGTAAAAGTTCTTTACTGTATTGCACATTAGACATAGATGAGGGTCTGGATGGTGTTAACAGAATAGAGAATACTGGAAAAAACGGGCAGAATAAAGGGCTCAAATAATAAAGAATAGAGGAAAATGGACCAAAAAATAAAGGATGAGAAAATAATGGGGTGCTAAAATATAAAGAATGAAGAATAATGGGCCAAAAATATATAAAGATTACAGAAAAATGGGCTAAAATACTAAAGAATACAGAAATGAAGGACCCCCATCCACAACCTCATAGATTGCCTCTCCAATTTCCCTCTGCAAGAGCTATATGTTATATCTTAAAATTTATATTGTATATATGTTTATTGCTTTTGGTATACTATTATACCATGCAAGGTGAAGTAATAGGAACTGTTATTATTGCGTTCCAGTGGCGGTTTCAGGATTTTCGAAAAATGGTGAGACAACGGAGTCGGCGGGTCCACATACAAAGTTTGCCTAAAAGAGCAGTAAAAAATCAGTAAAATATAACTATAACTTCAATTTTTTACCATGTAGGAAAAACGCTTTGCACCACACCTAGGTCCAACCTTGCATTCGATACTCTTATAGTCAATAGTGAGGACTAACATAGGTTAATACAGAATGTGATATAAACCAACAGGGACCTAAAATAGTAGATCCAATTTAAGATGATCTTTGGCTGAGATTATTTGCTACCTGATGAGTTTGAAATCTCTGAAATGTACAAAAACCAATCAACTAATCATTTATTATAATCAATCGATGAAATTTGAATAAATTATGAGAAAGTGTGTGGATTTGTGAAAAATTAAAAAATTACAAGAAATTAGTTACTTCGTTGCAAAAACTCTGTTACAAGTAAGCGTATATATGTCTTTAAAAATGTATTATGTAAAGATGCAACAGTTTCTATATGGCTAAAACGAAAAAAAGTTTGATTTTGACTAAACTTAAGTTTTTTCGAGAAAAAAAACACATAAGGATTCGAAATACTTTTCTTACGTTGTGTCAACTGTTTTTTAAACGTTTTCTATTAAATTAAAACAGAGTTTGCGTTTTTAAATGAAACCAAAGATAAAAAAAAAATATATCTTCGAACAGAACCGTGAAGTTACATTTTTAATAATAAATTTCAAATCAAATAATAGAAATTATTTAAAAAAAAAAGGCACTCACATCAATAGGTATGCTCTGGTTATCGGAGCTAACATGATATAAGTATAACAAATTATTTCTAAATTCATCTTTTCTGTTTTATTGTATTCTTGGGTTGATTCATCCCTCGTCTATTTTTATTAAAATCTATATAAATATATACTCGAAAAGGCAAAAATAGAACTATATCGTATTCTTTTGTATCTGTTTAAAACTGTGAAAACAGAAATAAAATTGTATTACTGCGTGTAAAAAATAAAGTCATTGGTATGTATTTGAAATAGGTAAACATCATTGTAATAATATTAGTCTCTCTCTCTCTCTCTCTCTCTCTCTCTCTCTCTCTCTCTCTCTCTGTGTGTATTTTGAGAAGCTTTAGTTTGGATATATTTTATTGGTCAGAATTTATCATTTGTAGGTAATTTTCTGAAGAGCCGAAAATATTCCCTTTTTCAGTGTACAAAATTATGATATTATTCCAAATAAATTTGATATGGAAAAGGGAAAAAGACTAAACGCAGCATATTTTAGTGACATTTATGAACAATCTGTTTGTGGTAAATAAAGGCATTAGACAATTTTTTATGTGTGTCATAATTTTTAAGTTGTGGCTTGTAAATATGAAAAATATTTTAAAAAATAAGATAAAATATTACTTCAAAGAGTAAACAAAATAAGCATTTATTTATATATAAAATATGTAAAAATACAAACACATTTAAATCTTTGGTTGATTCGATGGTCTTTGGTTTAATTTCTTAAAACATTGAGAACAGTCTCCACAATTGAAAAATGGACGGAAAAAAGCATCACAAAAAGCACATTAATTTAGCGTCACAAATACGTATAACATGGTTGTCCAGGTTGGGGCTCAGTCCAGGAACACGCTGGGATTAAATCTGGAATTGTTGAATTACAAAATGCTTGTGGAAAAGTCGGCAGGGGAATGTCATTCAAATTCGTTTCAAAACAATTATTGCTAAATGCCATATTGTCGTTAAATTGCTGATTTCGTGTATCATTTGTAAACGAATTTTGAAAATTGTCAAAATTATCTCCTAGGAAAAGCTGTCCGTTCATATTACTGTCCTGAATAGGAAATTGTTGTAACCATTGATTATTTTGATTTTGATTCGACAAACCTGGTGATATGCTACTTAAGCTCTCCGATGAATCCGAAAAAGAACGCGGACTACAGTTCCCAACACTACTGTCACAACCGGGTGTAGTCGAACTATCCCTACCCGTGTCGTTCCACGGACCAGATAACAATTCTTGCAAATCAGTCGGTCCTAAAATTGATTCTAATGTGTCTGTTGGTAACTGGATAGAAGAAAAGTCAGTGCCATTTGTTGGTAACAATCCGTTCAAGTTTCCATATTGTTTATTGACTTCAAGAGCTGTTGGTTCTGTGAAAAAAGATGGCGGTAAATTCCTTTTACGCAATGGAACTTTAGAGGAACCATTACAAGCTTTTGTCGCCGGGTCAGCACAACATTTTTCATGTAAAGTTCTTGGATCAAACAGAGCCTGTAGTGATTTTATTTGAAGTCCAATTTGTGAATTTTCCTTCCTTTGAATTTTTGCTGGTGGTCCATTATAGCAATTGTTTTTCCCGTCGCCTCCATCTTTTCCCGAACACCGCTTAAGCTGTTTCTGGAGATATTTACGATGATTGACTTTACGTTTTGATTTTGAAGGTTTGTCTAATGCTAATTTAATGTTACTAGACGCCATGTCGACAAAACTAAGCAGATTTAACGTAGCATCGTCCTGTCCGTGATGATGGATCTCTTCTTCCCCAGGGTCGGGGAATCCCATGGGCTGCATAATGCCTGTCATATCCTCTACGTTTAACATCACATACTATTATTTCTTCGTTCTATAAAAAAAAATTCTTGAAGATTTTCCAAGTTGCACACAAAGTGAATCCAGGTTAATTGCAGGTGTGCGCCGTCACATCAAGGTGTAAAACGTTTCAGTGATCTGTCTGCTCTGAGTTACTTCTCTCTTATAGTATTCCTTTGACACTCTTAATGACACCGATTAAGCATAAATTTCTTTTAAGAGACATATTTGTTATAATCCGCTAATGTCCATCAAAAGCATCGCCAGTCCATTTGTTTAGAGTTAGGGGTTAAGTTAGCTTCATAAAGCTTGATGTCTTCTTCATTGAACGCAGGTAGCACTCTATTGTTCCCGTCAGCCAGTAGATTTAACTTCGTCTTCTTTTTACGACCCGGAAAAGGCGTACAATGGCTGCCGTCATCAAAAGATGGAGAATATTAATCCGTTTTTACATGTTTTACAAAGCAAGTGGGCTGTCTTTTGAAGAGGTACATTCATGGGGTTTTATTTGAACTGTCAACCTTAAGGTCGTGTCAAGAAAATAACAGCTAGAAAAGGTTAATGGGATGGGAATACAGATGTGCAAAAAAATATGGTCTTTTTTCAAAATGGACTTAAAAGGAATAAAGTACAATAAAGTAATTAGGATAGGTTAAAACATCGTGCAGACCATATGATTGAACATATCTATGTTAAGACTACAGTATAATAGTAATAATACTATACTTTGACAAAACAGTTTTACAGATAAAGTAAAATGGAGTTATACTTAAGGGCATTTGACAAAACAGTTTAACATAACAATTTTTTTTAATGACATTGGTGTATTGTATTTCTGGAAAGTTGCACAGAAATCGCCAATTATTTCTCGATTTTTACACCATTGAAAAGCAAGAATGTGCGTAAATTTTACCATTTTCTCAAGTATAAAAGAGACTAAAAAAAGTAATGAATACTGCGTTTACGCGTGTTTTTTAATGTGAATATATATTAATAAACTTACATATAAATATACACTGAGACTTACATTTTAATTAACTGTATGTCTTGTTAATCCGAGAACCGTTTACGCGGGTTTGTTTTTCTCTTTTATTTTTTTTTGTTTTTGGTGTGAATATATTAATAAACTTACATAAATACACTGAGACTTTCATATTGATTAACTATATGTCTTGTTATATTGGTTTAGTTGATGATGTAGTATTATCAATTATTAAATTCATTTAAATCCTAGAACCGTTTACGCAGTTTTTTTCTCTCTTTTAGTTTTTTGTTTGATTGTAAATATATTAATAAACTTACATAAATACACTGAGATTTTCATATTAATTAACTATATGTCTTGTTATATTGGTTTAGTTGATGATGTAGTATTATTAATTAGTTTGAGGTTTGCTTAAGTCAAGTCCATGCATATTCTGGAGGATTTATAAATACAGTCATATATTATCAGGAAGATCCAAGACGTGTGTTGGAAGAAAGCATCACTGCAGGAAGATCCAAGACGTGTGTTGGAAGAAAACATCACTATTTAGTGTCAAGGAACAGTAAACGGGCTATGTCACAGATTTTGGTAAAATTTTGCGTACAACTTTGGCTCGTCACAGTGAGATATATCTGAAAATCGAAAAAAAATCCTTTATCTTTAACCATAAGGTCGCCGACTTTGTTTCTTGTGTATTCACCAATCTGTTACCTTGTTGGTAGTGAAAATCGTCAAAAATCGAAGTTTTGCGGCCTATTTCGATGTTTTGTGGTATTTTTTCACCTTATACACTACTTTTTTTTTAAAGATGTTGACCGTTTAAACAAAGTCGGTGACTCTAATAGTATCTTACATCGTTAAAAACAAAAATATTTGTACCAACAACATATAGTTTTAAGAAAAGTCTATGTATCGAAAAATGGATATTTGATGATTTTAAGACAAATTTAAGAAGGTATTTCGCCGATTTTATGTGCTTTCTATAAAAATGTTCACCTATTTTTAAAGAATTCAATCAGTAATTTTTCAGAAAATAAGAGAAATTAATGCATTATTTTTTTCGATTTTCAGTTACAATTCAACGAGCCAAAGTTGAATGCAAAATTTTAAGAAAATCTGTGACATGGCCCATTTACTGTAACTTTACCTTAAATGTTATGGAACCGTACCAACAGCGGTTTTGAAAGTTTATAAAAAATTAGCCCCCTTCACGTTTTCACGCTCAGACATATAAATATACTTATTCCTATTAATAGTAAAGGGCTAAAATAAACCAATATATCAACTATAAGAGTATGAAAGACCTTCTATACTCCAACCTAAAAAAAAAAGGTCGACGGGCATTTTATTAGATTTTACCCCACAAAATTTTAGCGTGAATGAATGAAATTTTGCATAACAAACAATACTTTCAGGAAATGTCTTTTTACAATGAATTCTGATAAACAAATTACTAATTGTTACATATTTTAGTTTCACTAGGTCACCATTTTATACCATTGCAAAGCCGTAAAATACAAATCAATTTAGCTTTGTTACGCCTCAATCGCAATGTGACACAATGCTTGCCGACGTGTCCAGAATTCAAATTTTAGATTTTTGGAGACTTATAATATGTCTTTATTACATATAAATATGTTTTATTGCCCTATTTCTTAGTTTATTTTTCAGAAAATATATTCTTTTGATAACAAATGATCCGTTATACTAGCAATTAATAGTCAAAAATTTACCAAAATGGAACTGAATTTGATAGTCTCTGATTTATTGCTGTGTGGTGAAATTTTTATACAATAAATCTTCCAAATTATCGTAAATATTTCATAATACTTATTGTTATATTAATTTAATGTTGAACGAACACTAACAGAAAATAAAGTCGTTTTTGACTACTGGCCAACCTTTTCACTTTCAATATGTACTTCTCTTTTCAAGTGTGCAAATATTAAAGACGTGAGAAAGTAACAACTCTAAATTCAGCCCTTAACAAAAAGTTGAACAAAATTTCTAGGGTTTTTTTATCAACTTTTCCGACAATGTTAACGTTCAGAATTGCAAGAATAATTTGACCTCGGGACATTTTTAGCTCACCGAGGCCCGAAGGGCCCCATGTGAGCTTATGCCATCACTTGGCGTCCGTCGTCTGTCGACGACTGTCGTCGTAAACTATTTCAAAAATCTTCTCCTCTGAAACTACTGGGCCAAATACCTTCAAACTTTAACTAAATCCTTTAGGGTATCTAGTTTATAAATTGTATCCGAAGTTTTGATCCATCGACAAACATGGCCGCCATGGCTAAAAATATAACATAGGGGTCAAATGCAGTTTTTTGGCTTATATCTCAAAAACTTAAGCTTTTAGAGCAAATCTGACATGGGTAAAATTGTTCAATTGGTCAAGATCTATCAGCTCTCAAATTTTCAGACGAAACGAACAACTCATTGTTGGGTTGCTGCCACCGAATTGGTAGTTTTAAAAAAATTTTTACAGTTTTTTGTTATTATTTTGAATATTATTATAGATATATATAAACTGTAAGCAGCAATAATGTTCAGCAAAGTAAGATCTACAAAAAAGTTAATATGACCATAATTGTCAATTGACCCCTTAAGGAGTTATTGCCCTTTATTTTAAAGACAATTTACACAATTTGTTCATCAAGTTTGCTAACATTTAAAAATCTTCTCCTCTGAAATACAGGTGAGCGATTCAGGCTCTTGAGAGCCTCTTGTTTTAAACACTCATCAAAAATATAATTTAATGATCTTAAATGCTATAGGAAAAATTAATTGCTTGATTGATTAATGATTACTTAACATCTCGTCTGCGCAAAAAAGTGATATTAAGCGACGAGTTATAGGAAAAATAACAATGTATTGGGAAATATTGATACAAAAACCGAAAAAATCAATAAGTCGACACAAAATATATTAATATACATATATACCCCAAGCATACTATGCCATTTTAATCCGGGTTCGACCCGAATTAGTTAATCCAGTTTAGAATTATGAAGTTTGAACGTCTTAACCCGGGGCAAACCCGGATTAAAATTACCCCTCATCATCGGTGGAGCTAATGTGGGGTGAACAGGGATTAATTGCCTCGCCCTCTGTATGTGAATGTAAAATGGAGTAAATGTAATTAAGGTTGTTATTATGCTAACCGATACGACGTTTGATTGCGTCAATCGAAATTACAAAATGTGTCGGAACGACATGAATGGCCCATCTCACGAAAAAAAAGAAGCTTGAAGCCATTAATGGGAGTGGAAATTTGAGAATGAAAGTCCGTATAACTGTTATTTTCACGAAATTTTGGCAAAAATCCGCAGAGCTGAACCAAACATAAATTCGACCTGTAACTCATCATTGTAGAATCACATACTAAAAATCAGCTCAACAAGTGAAGGCGTTTAGAAAAGAAAGTCTGTATAAAGGTTATTTTCACGAAATTTTCAAAGTCCAAAGCCCGTTTGCGGCAAAAATTAGCGAAGCGGAACCAAACGTAAACTCCATTTGTCACTCATCATAGTAGACTCGCGTACAAAAACTCAGCTCAATATGTGCAGGCGTTTAGAAAAAAGTCCGTATAACTATTCTTTGGGGAATGACGAAATGACAGATTGACGGAATGACGGATAAGGGTAAACTATATGACCCCGAACACTTTGTGGCGGGGCCATAAAATCTTACAAATATAATTGATCGTAAGGTAAACTGAAATGTTTTTATAAATGACTTACTAGTATTTTTACTCGTGAGAATTTTTATGAAATGAGTCCCAGATCATTGGCGAAACAGCAGAATCAGTTGTAAGCCAAAAAATGCGGATACTTGGGACAAGAAGAAAACAAGAATCTAGGTATATATATACAGTTTATTCATCCACTCAATCTTATTAAAATATAGAACTCGGATTGTTCATCCACAGGGAATATCATGTATTTGCAATCATGGGAAGGGAGGTGGATGATGCGAGTTTCCACTGAATCGCTCAGAAGGATGTATAAGGATTTCAGACTTTGTAATAATTAATACAGCTGTGATGCAACGAATGTAAAGAACTCCTGTGGACAGACGCCAGTAACAATTTTGGCGCATACGTGTCTATTTTTGTTGACAGGGAAAATCCTAAAGTGGGTTTATTTAACTTTGGCAAGTGTGAACTATGGCACTTCAAACGTTTCGTGAACCGGGTAATTATCTCGGGTTAACTATCCCGGGTTCGATCCGGAGCAGATTTCATAGTGTGAAAACGGTATAATACATATATAAAAGCAAATCTTTAAACATATTATAAGAGTGCTGTAGGAATCAGAAAACATTTACGTCTATATGCCGCGTATAGAAATGCAATTGCAAATACATTGACTTATTACAAATAAGCGTATGGTGCTTTCTGTCGCACTTCCCGATAACATTGAATCGGTTTTATTGTCCGTTGTTGAATTTTATGATTTAATCTATATTTTGCATTGAAATTCTTCCAAAAGTGATGATAATAAAATTATACTATCTTTAACAAGACAATGTATCTTAATGTTATTTAAAACCCGGAGTTTGACCTACCTACGGTTTGGAAATGGCAAAAATTGCGCAATTTTAAATCAAAACGTCGAGCGGTTTGTATTTATGACGTCGCCGGATTATTGCGTCGCTGTACTTAATTAAGACTCCAAGATGGGCGCTAGAACGTCAAAACTCAACAAGAAAACTTCAAACACAAACCAGAGTGATGTGGCCACTCATGATATAACGTTTGATAGACGACCTACTGTTGGACAATCAGGACTTTACTACTACTATCCGTTAGGACCTACAAAAGAAGTTAAAACACCGCCAAAACTTTCACGACATCAAAATGTCAAAAATTCGGCGGAAAACTTGAAAGAAATGGCAGAGGAATTAGAAGAGAAAATGATGATAGCTAATATTCTTAGGGAAGAAAATCTACGTTCAAAAGGTATGACAACACAACATTAGAATAAGGGAAAACAAACCAAAAGAATGCATCATTCCTTCGTGTCCTCGTGTGCAAAAATGCTATCTTCTCGACCTATTAAACCACTACTTTATATACCAGTATCGGCCTTCCTTTTCCTTAGGGGACCCAATCCATATTTGGCTATACTAAACTATCCTTTATTCTTAACCTTGCCCTAATCCATACATAAACCAAACACTAGCCCTAACAATAAACCTTAACTTAGAAGTTGAACACTCTAACATAACCATAAACATAAATAAACCCTAACCCTAAATTATAGGGACCCCTAACGTAAAGATGACCCCATTATCTATACTTGTAATACTAAAGTATAAGTTGAATAAACTTATAAGTCTCTTTCAAACTATGCAAAGAAAAACCAGACAAGAACACGTAGAACATGAAAAAAAAGATCGATTAGAACAAAAACCAATAAAACAAAATCACGAACCCCCCCCCCAAAAAAAAAAAAAAAAAAAAAAAAAAAACACACGCACACATACAAACCCCAACAAAAAAAAAAAAAAAAAAAATCATGAATGAAAACAATATATAAACCCTTGCAGTGATGCAAATACATGGACACACGTATGTTATCTTACTTTTGATATTGGATCAATATTCTTGAAAAAGGAAAAAGAAAAAAAAAAATATAAAGAAGTGAAAATTTTCCACTGAATTAAGAAACTGGTGGATTACTGCTTCTTGGACATAGCAGGTAGTTTCTTTTTTCTATTATTGTGAACCAACTCAAATTTTGTTAGAATTGAACTATACAGAGAAAATCATTAGTGTGTAATTCGTGTAGTAGACATACTTTCGAAAATAACTATGAGAAGAACTTCATAAAATGTTTTTAGAAATTTAAATGGCACAAACAGGTCAGACCTTTTATTTGGCTATAATACAAAATATAAAATTTACTGTACATTCCTATGCGAAATTGAATATCTGAATTATCTTCCATTATGAAAATAAATTTATTTTTTTAATCAATAGAAAATGTTCTGTATTTGAACAATCAATCGTTATAATAGACGACTTTCGAATTCTTGCACTTTCCTGTAAATATCCTATGCAACAATGCTATTACGTCAGAGTAAGAATTATTCGATTACGTCGTAACTTACGCCGATTGACCTCGGATCAACCGGTGTAACTTATTCATAAAAAAAAAAACTCGATATTGGTGTATAAAGTAAACTCACATGATAAGTCTCGCAAATGAATTGCACTCCCGCCTCAAAATTGCGTATTTCATTGAAAATTTAGAACGATCGTTTTCTGCTATTTACAATCCAAGATGACAGAAGACCGCCATGAAATTACATTCTTCCATTTGTTCTGCTAAAGAAAATATTTATAGAAAATTTTGCATTCGAAAATTCCGGCGTAAATTGGTCTAAGCCAGATATAATTTAAATTTTGAATGGTAACCATCATGTTCATTGCATATTTCTGTTAAATATTCATAATACGTCAAAATTCATCTAAATTGCAGTATTGAACCATCTATAGACAAGTAGAATTTGGACACAAGTTTTTTACGGAAAAACCCGCTACAATGTTGTTACAATCTAAAAGAACACATATATACAAAATACATGTACATTGTCGGGAAATATATAATTTATTTGTACGAGCTTTAGAAATAGGAATAAAAGCGATGCTCGCCAATCTTCTCTATGGTTCGTAGCGAGTAGAAATACATTTTATATTTCCGACAATGTAATGTATTTTTTTTAATCAGAGACATATAGTTTTTATCCTGCAATTTTCATCCGGCAGTTGAATCTTTAGTTGTATAAATCCAAAACCATTGTTTTGAATTATTTTCAAAGAAATCGACATTGTTTAAACGCGGACCGCGAAGAGGACCCAAAATGAACTTCTTCTTAGTATAAGCCTCCTTTAATTAGGAGCACCTCCATATGGAGTTTTACCTTAACTTTAAGATCTTAAGAAACATTTTATCCAACATATGTACAACACATATAAATAAACGAAACGATGAACTGTTACGGGAAAAAAATATCCCCATTACCGCTTGCTCAACATGGAAGCGGGTTAACAGGAAACGTTATTTGTACAAGTATAGCAAAACATTATTTATGTACCTGTTATTTGTACATAGTTGGCTGATTGCAGGATAAAAATGTTTATGAGGGTCTGGATGGGGGTTCTTCATTTCTGTATTCTTTCATTTGTAAGGCCGTTTTTCTCTATTCTTTATACTTTTGCACATTATTCTCTTTTCTTTATATTTTAGCACCTTGTAATTCTCTATTCTCTATACTTTTGGTTCATTTTTCTCTATTCTTTATATTTTTTCCCATCATTCTCTAATCTGTTAAACCCCATTCCACACCCTCGTTTATGATACTGACAAATATTTTGAAAATTTCTTAGTGAAATAGTTTCAGGGAAATATAACCATACTCTTTACTACAATATTTTATTGTCAGGAAAAGCTGCAAGAGATTTTACAGAAAGACAAGCAAGAGTGAAAGAAAGAAAAGCACAAATGACGGAGGAAAAAATACAGAAAATCCAAGACAAGATGGTTTTAGACGAGGTCCGACTTTTAAATAGGCCGAAAATGAATAAACCAAGAATAAGGAGCCATTCTATTCCACACCTCTCCAAAATTGGTACGAATACCAAAACACATAACTAAATGTACAGATGAGACCTGTAGCAGAAAGAAGACGAAAACCAGCAATGTCGTCTGCCAGCTCCGCTGTCCTTAGTTTTCTGGAATAGACTAACGTGAATCACAATATATTTTTTAATCAAGTGAAATAATGAAATGTTTTACATTTTTCAAATTTTCTTCTTCGTGGTGATGACCAGTCTGCACTGTGTTTGACAGGTCTAAGAGGATCCAAATATATCACAATTGTTTTTGTTTGATTGTTTATTTATTGTCTGTTGTGTATTTATATGGTGGGAATCCTCCTACACCTATATATTTATGTGCACGATTAAATTAGATAATATCACGTTTATTTTTGTGTGTTACTTACTTTTATTACGATTTATTACATATATGTAAGTAAATTTGGATTAGAATTGCAAATTGTTGTCGTAAAATTATGGTGGGAGGCGATATAAGTGTAGTTAATAATTTTAATGGGGGTGATCTAGAACAGCTATTTACCTACTTTTTTCATGCTGATTTTTTACTGTTAGGATTTTACTGTCCGCCTTTGTTGAAACTTTGAAGGAAGATCTCTTTTGGTTATCTTCTATTGTGAGAGACAATAACCCTCAACAATACCGGGGTTAACGATCCCAGTCGTGAGAAATTCATTGGCGAGTCTAGAGGGCTCTGTCCTTTTGCTTTTTATGACCAGAAATAACCACACTTGTCAATAAAGACCACACATTGACCTAAGCGGAGAGTGCACCATGAGTATTGAGATGTGGGGTCAGTCAGGTTATTAATTAGATGAGTTTGGGATACACAGAAAGCAAATACATAACAAGACAATAGTCAATGAGGTTGAGCCAGGAACACTGTTGCAGTGGCCTGTTATTCACCTGAAAATAATTTCACTTTAAAAAACAAATTGCCTGTCATTAAAATAACTGTTTAACACGATAGTTCCAATCAGAGACATGCATGTATATTAATACATATTAATACAAATATTATATTCTCTGTTCGTTGTTAACAAAATAATAACATTGTACAAGTTGTAATCGAGACGTAACATTAATGACATTGTACAAGTTGTAACCGAGAAGTAACATTAATGACATTGTACATGTTGTAATAGAGAAGTAACATTAATAACAATGTACATGTTGTAATCGAGAAGTAACATTAATGACATTGTACATGTTGTAATCGAGAAGTAACATTAATAACATTGTACATGTTGTAATCAAGAAGTAACATTAATGACATTGTGCATGTTGTAATTGAGGAGTAACATAAATGACATTGTACATGTTGTAATCGAGAAGTAACATTAATGACATTGTACATGTTGTAATAGAGAAGTAACATTAATAACATTGTACATGTTGTAATCGAGAAGTAACATTAATGACATTGTACATGTTGTAATTGAGGAGTAACATTAATGACATTGTACATGTTGTAATAGAGAAGTAACATTAATAACATTGTACATGTTGTAATCGAGAAGTAACATTAATAACATTGTACATGTTGTAATCGAGAAGTAACATTAATGACATTGTACATGTTGTAATCGAGAAGTAACATTGATAACATTGTACATGTTGTAATCGAGAAGTAACATTAATGACATTGTACATGTTGTAATCGAGAAGTAACATTAATGACATTGTACAAGTTGTAATCGAGAAGTAACATTAATGACATTGTACATGTTGTAATAGAGAAGTAACATTAATGACATTGTACATGTTGTAATCGAGAAGTAACATTAATGACATTGTACAAGTTGTAATCGAGAAGTAACATTAATGACGTTGTACATGTTGTAATCGAGAAGTAACATTTATAACATTGTACATGTTGTAACCGAGAAGTAACATTAATGACATTGTACATGTTGTAATCGAGAAGTAACATTAATGACATTGCACATATTGTAATCGAGAAAATAAAATTTTAACTCAGTTTTTAAAGAAACCAATTAGCAAATGTTTAGTTACCGCAAAACCGAGAAGCACGAAATGGACTTCTTACCCGATACACATCTATAGTCACGTTTTCACTGGCCAAGTTTAAGTTGCTCTTAGATTTAAATGTGGCAGAATTTTCTGATATGCTTTAAAATTAAATTTCTGTCGAAAGAAAAATGACAATAAAAGACACCAAGTCCAAAATATACAGACAATTTAATAATAATTCCATTTTATAATCATCAATCAACAAATAACAAAATAGGATATTTTCAAAATTTTCAAATTTAACTTTTCACAGAAATGACCCTCTACATAGATCGTTTTGAGGACAAATACCAATTACACAATATGAAGATTATGTTCGTGTGGGTTTAACTTTTTCTGGAGACGAAGGAGGAAAAGGAGCAATGGACAGCTAACATAGATTGGTCTTGCCCGCTTGTCAGAACAGGGTTATTTGGTAAATTGCTATAAAACTGCATGTATTTGGGAGTGGAAATATAGTTTTAAGTACTCGTTAAGCTTATTCGACCAGAAAACTTTAACATTCAACAATAATTTAATTTTGGATGTAACACGCGTCGTAATTAAATTATAAGGAATGACTGTACTATTTTTTCTGTCTATTTGAAATAACCTTAAAAATGTGGTGCACACTTTTAAATAACCCGCTACGCGGTTTATTCAGTGTGCACCACATTTTTGATGTTATTTCTTCTTAGACAGAAAAAATATTACAGTCATTACTTAAATAAATTACAAATCTAATTACTTCAAAGTCAGAACACCAAGCTGAAAAAATGGCTTTATGAAATCATTTGCTTTCAAACGAGATACATAGCTCAATATGTAACTATATTTATTTCAAATAAGCACTTTAGCGTTTTTCGTCATCTTTTTGTATTTGTTTATACTATGCATGTTTTCGGCCTTTGTACACGACTGCCTTTGAGGTGTCCAAATATCAATAAAGAATGTGTTTGTTGTTAGTACGTTTTAAATTTGTTTAAACTTGAATTTTGAATAAAGTAAAATCCATATATTCGCTGAAGCATGGCTTAGAATTTGAGCCAAGGGTTACTAATGCAGCATACAAATAAGAAGATATAAGTATTAAGGATGTACTTAGGTGAGGTTTTGGAATTTGTGTCAAATGTTCGGACTCCTTAGTTTTTTTCCTATGATACAGGGTAAAATATTTTGCCCCATAACACCCATTTTTCTTTTCATATAAGACTTCAATAGCTCATAAAAGGTCATTTACCAAAATTTAAGCAAATTTTTAATTTCTTTTCTTTCAATTTGAGACCCACATAATACCAAGGCAAATATAAGGTAAAAGTCCGAGTCAGACTTTTCCCGCCATTTTTTAAAACTCAAATATCTTGAAAAGGAGCTCCATAACCTATCAATATTTTAAGCTTACTTTTTTCCTTAACTAATGATCTATCGACTTAAAGTATCAATTTTAAATTCTTGATTTTTTTAATTTCACCTAAGTACATCCTTAATATTGCAAACGTGAATCTGATAACTCTCCAACAGACACCAAAAAACGTAAAAGTTAGCAAAAAGTAAAATAACAAAAATACCGAACTCCAAGGAAAATTCAAAACGGAAAGTCCTTTATCAAATGGCAATATCAAAAGCTCAAACACATCAAACGAATGGAAAACAACTGTCATATTCCTGACTTGGTACAAGCATTTCCTTATGTAGACTTACTGTATGGCTTACTGTGGTCACCGTACGGCCTTCAACAATGAGCAAATCCCATACCGCATAGCAAGCCATACAATAGCACTTATTTTTTACGCGAAAATTTAAAATTTGATTTGAACAATGTCGTCAAGGTAAAACATGCAATAAATTCGACACAGTGCAGCTACCAACAGCATGACAAATAACTTGAACGAGGAGAAAAAAAGACGGCACATAATTTGGAAAGCAGGGTCAAATGGGTCGTTATTAGGAAGATAGCTATACGGTAGTAAGAGCTGTTGGTTGAATAATGTCGCACAAGAAAACAAAGCAATCAGAAACAACACTCCTTACAGGTTTATTGCAGTTTCATCATAAAAATACTTTAAAACGGAAGTACCCATCCCAGTCTCTGAAAAAATCTTTTAAGCCACAAAGAACAATTTCGACACACATTAATTTTTATAATGCCACATGTGGCGATAAAGACCCCTATTTGTCGAGCCGGCTACATTTTGCTGCTGGCGCTAAAAGATCATAACTTTGTCAAACCTTCATGGAATTTTAAGGAACTTGGACTGAAGCTTTTTTATGATCAAAAGACAGTACTCGGAGCATAGTTTTGAAAACATTTTTTGTTTTGTTTTTCCATATAATTATTACTCATAATTTTTACAGCTAAAACATTAATATACAGGCTAAGGTTTAACGTTTTTCAAACATCAATAACTTGGTCAAACCTTCATGGAACTTTACAAAAATTGACAGATGCTTTTCATAATCAACTGACAGTATTAAGAGAAACACTTGGAAATATTTTATTTTAATTTTCCGATTTTTACTGGTAAATGGACATTTTGACGTGTTTTTCGGCAGTTACATTAATTTTACATAAAGTCTTAGATAATAAAAAAATGTCCATCAATAATTGTGTCAAACCTTCATTGAATGTTATGAAACTTGGGCAGAAGCTCCTTCAAGATCAAGATATAGTATCTGAAGATTTTGTAAAATTTCCGTATTTTATAAATGGAAAATGCAAAAAGTTGATTTCTGGGTATCTTTTAAAACATACACCGAATTTTTATAAAAGAATAGTTTGCACCACCGGATAAAGTAACTGCCTATTGATTTTAAGGTTACGTAGTAAAAGGTCCAGGTCACAGCTTAAATTGGCACATTGAGATTTTGGCAAATTTTAGTCCTGGTGATAATTTTTTAACCATTTGTGAAAGAGGCAAAAGGTATCAAAGAGACAATAAAAAAATCATCAAGTCGAAGAAAAACCGACAAATTTCAATTGATATATTATAGTGTATCTTTTTATGTTGTAATGTTACACTACTGTCTCAGATTAGGTTGAAGGTTGGCGCCTGTTAAAACGTTTAAACCCGGTGCATTTTTATGCACCTGTCCTAAGTCAGGAGCCTGTTGTTCAGTGGTTGTCGTTTGTTGGTGTGGTTCATCGGTGTTTCTTGTTTCTCGTTTTTGTCGAGCCTTCGACTTTAGTCGAAAAAGCGAGACATAGCGATCCTACATTCCGTCGGCGTCGTCGTCGTCGTCGTTGTCGTCGGCGGCGTCCACAAATATTCACTCTGTGGTTAAAGTTTTTGAAATTTTAATAACTTTCTTAAACTATCCTGGATTTCTACCAAACTTGGACAGAAGCTTGTTTATGATCATAAGATAGTATCCAGAAGTAAATTTTGTAAAAATAAAATTCCATTTTTTCTGTATTTTACTTATAAATGGACTTAGTTTTTCTGCCGGTAAATATTACATTCACTCTGTGGTTAAAGTTTTTAAAATTTTAATAACTTTCTTAAACTATCCTGGGTTTGTACCAAACTTGGACAGAAGCTTGTTTATGATCATAAGATAGTATCTAGAAGTAAAATTTGTTAAAAAATAAATCCATTTTTTCCTTATTTTACTTTTAAATGGACTTAGATTTTCTGCCAGGAAACAACACATTCACTTTGTGGTTAAAGTTTTTAAAATTTTAATAACTTTCTTATACTATTTTGGATTTGTACCAAACTTGGACAGAAGCTTGTTTATGATCAAATGCTAGTATCTAGAAGGAAATTTTGTTTTCTTCCAGTTAACATTACATTCAGTCTGCAGTTAAAGTTTTTAAACATTTATTAGATTCATAAACTATCCTGGAATTTTACCAAACTTGGACAGAAGCTTCTTACAATCAAAAGATAGTATCAAGAGGAATATTTTTATTGATTTACTTCCTCATTTTTGTTGAGCCTGCGATTAACAGAAAAAGTAGGCGAGACACTGGGTTCCGCGGAACCCTTACGAATTTTTTATATAGATTAGACCGTTGGTTTTCATGTTTGAATTGTTTTATACTAATCATTTTGAGGCCCTTTATAGCTTGTTGTTCGATGCGAGTCCAGGCTCCGTGTTGAAGGCCGTACTACCTATAATTGTTAACTTTTTTATACATTGTGACTTGGATGGAGGGTTGTCTCATTGGCACTCATACCACATCTTATTTATGATTTGATTACCATGGATACTTGATAGACTTTATTTCAAAACTATGCAGAGAAAGTCAATTCGCCTTCCTATGTAGTCCAGAGGTCACTTCTAAACGTATTGCAAGGTGAACATGTCGGTCTGACATGGTTCAGTCCGAACTTGACCTTATTTTTATGGTTTTATTGGTCAAAGTGAAGTTTTTGTGATAAGGTAGTTTCAGATACTATAAGCAGTAGGTCAACTGTATAATTGTTGTATTGAATGATTTTAAGGTGTACCTATCCTTCTTGCAGGATTCATCCGACTTTCACCTTATAACATGGTTCAATATCAAGTTGAAGTGATCAGTCCGTTTCTGGGATACTTTAAGCACTAGGTCAACTGTATTTGGTGAATGAATTGATTGTAAGGTTATGTATTCTTGTAGGATTTATCTGACCTTATTTTAATTGTTTATTGGTCAATTTGAAGTGTTTGTGAATATGTTAGTTATTCAGATACTATAGGAAATAGGCAGTGGCGGATTCAGGGGGCATACCCCTTCGATCCGAAAAAAAAAAATCATTTTTTTTATTGAAAATGTCAGTATTTTTTTTTGCTAAGCTCTGCTCTGCGGTTTACATCATATTTGGTCCGTTTTATTGAATTACCCTCCATTTAAAAAAATCTTGGATCCTCACCTGGTAGGTCAACTATATTTGTTAAGTGTATGGAATGATTTTTAGGGGTACATGTCTGTAGGGTGAGGTCCATCTTGTCTTGACCTCGTTTTCATAGTCTTTGGTTAATGTTAAGTTTTTTTTATCAAGTCTGTTTCTAATATTGATTGGTCAACTAAATTTGGTGTATTGATTGTGTAAATTTCAGTCTGACATGGTTCATGACCTTATATTTATGGTTCATTGGTCATTGGTCAACCTAATTGAAACTGAAGGTGTAAATGCATTTTGGAAGGGTTCATCAAACCCTGGGCTCATTTTCATGGTTCATTGGTCAATGTTAAAATTTTTGCAATGAGGTCGGTTTCTCAGATATTATAAGCACTTGGACAGCTGTATTTGGTGAATGAATTGATTGTAAGGTATTTTATGACCTTGAATTCCTTTCCATTGATCTTGATAATGTAAAGCTTTATATAAGTGCTATTAGTAGTAAAACATTTATCTTGAAGACTTTTGACATGAAATTCAAACATGACAAGTATAGCAGGCAGTTTTTGTACTCTTGTTAATCACTAAAATGTTCAATCCCAATATGCCTTTATTAAGAGATAACACTGGCTCTGGGCTCCAGGCTCCATCCTTATTTTATCGTTTTGATCCAGGCTTACTTTAAGGGCTCTGGGATTTAGTTACATAACTTTGGGCTCCAGGCACCATATTGTAAGGGCTCCTGGTTCCAGTTCTAGGGCTTTTGGCTCCATTGATAGGGCTCCTAGCTAAGTAGGTAAGAATATGGACTCAAGCTCTGTTGGTTCCAGGTTCTAAAGTTACTGTGGAGCCTATGTTATTACCCCAACTTCACTTTTAGGCAAATATTGAAAAAAATAACTCGAGACAATGTCATATAAAACTTAACACATTTAATTGTGTTATGATCATACAAATCTTTGTATACCATTTATATGAGGTAACTTTTAACAAGTGTATATTGCAAATAATTATGTACCATACATTTCTTTACATATATATATCACAATTTATCATACAGATATTATATATCACAACTATAAAGGTTTATAAACAATGATAAATACAGTGAAACATTTATAAATCAAAACTTTCATGAAAACTTTAAGAAAACGTTAAAAGTTTCACATATTCATCCGTTTACATAACTTGCTATTGAACCTCAGTATTAAGTTATCATTAAGCAGGATAATATGGTTAATCAAAAATTTTCTTGTATTGGATATTTTTTTTAACTTTAATGATTAAAGAAGATTTCGATATAAGCTAACATTTCTATAACATCTTTTAAGAAAGGTTATTGTTTTAATAGTAAATTGACCAAAATAAAACCCATTCATAATATTTTCTGGATTATACATAACAGAGTTTCGTTTTGATATGTTTCACTGTCAGAATGTAAGTAAATAGGGTACATGGATTGAGCAGATGTAAAGATACATAAAGATACAGAATAATTACCATAAAATATGTTTAAAACCACCTTCTGTAAGCATTTATGCATTAGTATGCCCAAAAAGTTCTGATTTATTTTCATATTTTATACCTTTTTTTACTCTTTTTGTTAATTATGCAGGGGAATAATTAATAAATTAGTACAACTTCGTTATATAGCATAAATATTTTTTCATATTATGAAATAAAAATCTCTGTTTAATAGATTCTGTAAACAAGAGTTACTTCCCTTCAAATTTTACACTTAAAACTTTCAACCAAATCCAGATATATCACAGAGACAAACAAGAACTTTTGTTCTCAGCCACTTGTCAGATTTTCAAATATAAAATTAATTATGTTCAATTCCATGCGCAGTCTAGATCTGAACAGACAAAATTGTCACACTTTCAAAGGGAAGTAACTCTTTAAGGGGAGATAATTTTAACAAAACAATAATTTGATTGATATCAGCAGTGTAACAATAACAGTATTTCACCGAGTATTATATTTCAAGTTATTTTTTGGCACAGATCATTACTTGAACTGCATAGCAGACAATTTTGGTGGAGTGCAAATTTTCCATTTTGGATCTTTTTTTTTATTTTGGACCTTTGCCCTTTACAATTTATAGCCTCTAAACCAACCATTAATGATCCGAGTCTCCAAAAAAACTTTTTAAAAAAATCCGGAAGAAAAGATGGTGCCTTTTACAGCATAAGGTCTTAGGGGACTTTTTTTTGTTTATTAAATATGACATTTTCGTAATCACTTTGAAAAATTTGGTCCATTTAAAATTAAAAAAATCTTTTCACACGAGTGTGAAAAATTTCAAAATTTTGCATCCACCAAAATAATATGCTACATATAACATCAAAACAGAAGCAATATATTCACAGCTTTCTAGAGCTAAACTTTTCAAGCAAAATTCTAGTTACATCCAAAAAATGCATAGCTTTTTTTTCTTGGCAAGATTTATTACACTTTAAATATGCCAAAGACATTTGGTGTATAAAAATTCTCTAGTTAGAAAAGGTGTCTAGGATTTACTTTAAATGGAATATCTATGTAACACTTTCAGCATCATTTATGTATATTAAGCTTTCTAAATTAAAACAACAGCATGTAAAAATGTCTTTGGTTTGGGATTTAGAAACTTTTTTTTTCAATAAATGTGTATTAAGCATAATTATGCTGTTTAGAGACAGTTATTGCAAGCTCACTTTTAAAAAAGTAACACACACATTTTTCCTTTGGCATAGTTAATCAAAAGACTTCAGAAAAGAAATTCACCAGTAAACATATTGAGACATTAAATGTAATACTACCATAGTACCTTAGGATTTCATTTCAATTGATAAATTCAGCTTACAAAATTTTGGCAACCCATTTCACAAAATATCTTACGACTGAAACTGATCTTCACCTTTACTGAAATATGTTAAGGATATTCGCTACTCTGTTTTAGAATAACAAGCTTTTTAAAAGACTGTTATAAATTGATAGTACATAAATAAAGAACCTAAAAAAGGAAAAAAAAAAAATAAAGGGTCCGTGTGCTTGTTTTCTTGATATAAGCCATTGCAAATTTGGCGGGAAATAATTCTCTCTAGATTTTTTATACATTTAACATTGGCACCTTTTTTCTTTCAAAAACGATTAAAAAATAATAAAGATTTTATAAATTTTTCAAAGATGACATTTAAAACTATATGTAATCAAATTATGGAAAGAAAAGCAGGGGTTAGTGGGCAAAATTTGTAATGACACTACACGGATAAAACCCGAGAATTCCAAATATCTGGCAAAAATTCAAAAATAAGAGGAGCAAACATCCTTAATTCACTGTAAATGAGGAAATTTTTGTGATCGGTAAAAATATGCGGAAAAAATATCTCCAATATGAAATATCTGATAAAAACTGAACATTTTTTTGAAAATGTCAAATGTGTGAATTTAACCCTTATGCCAAAAACAAGCTTAATGAAATAGTGAATAAATAAGTAGGCCCAACCCCTGGAAAATTTCCATGCTTCAGTATACAGAGTATATTTTCACTTATATTTTTTGTGAAAAGAGCTGCCTGTCATTTAGTCAGTTGATACATATTTATCTCCTTTTTTTATGTCTAGTTTATACGATAACCTATAAAAAGCTCCATTTAGTATTGCAAAATCCTAATTACTCATTTATCAGACTTAGACCTAAAAAAAGATGCACTTCTCCAATTTTAATTGGTTATGTTTTCTACCAATAAAATAATCAGTCAACATTTACTGTTGATAATCGTTTTTGTAATGGTGCCAAACGTCGTGTACAGGTGTAATTTTAAACGTACCTGTTTAAACCATCAAATCACAGTGTAGTACACAAATGTTGATTCACTGACTCAACATGTATATTCACGAACACTTTTATTGTTGTATAGTTAATCCCCTCATCAAAACCCACTTTCAGACAAGATCAGTTTAAAGCTTGAACAATATAACCATTAAGATTGATATAAAAAGCATAAGAAAGATCATGATTGTTATACAAAAGTGTAAATTTTGTACCCTTATATTATCTTAACGACTATTTTAACAAGATTGATGGTTTTAGAGACGGAATTTTATCCCGGAATTTATTCAAAGATAAAATACTTTTCTAAAGAATCATTTTAAAATTCTGACCAAATATTCAAAAGCGTGAAAGTGTCAATCGTAAAAAAAAATTGGTATTATGTTTGGGAAAATATAAGTGTTCATAAAAATTTATTTTTATTGGTCTTAGTTTTCTCCCACCAAATTTGATAACTGTGAATAAATATAAACTTTCACGATAAATCAACTCATTTTAAATATTTTGATATATTAAAGCTATAATTTAACATTATAATGGTTGTCATGGAAACATACAATACACTATACTATACAGTTTGTATTTACAATTTTTTGTACTTATTGTGGAATGTAAATAATATGTAATAAATATGGAATGTGGACAAAAAATATGAAACGATAAAGATATTTATATATAAAACTTACAAAAAAACAAACAAATAACAAAAAACATTTATCACAGAACAATTTATGTAAGCATCAGATCCCTCAAGAAAATAAAGCAGTAGATAACATAAACAATATATGCTTAATGCATAACTGAGGTCCTATATTTTGGGGGGAGAGAAGGGGGCAGAGTTCTTGAAAAGTGTCGGTCAAAAAAGGATTAATTGACTGAAAAATATTCAAATGTATGACAAATTTGAGTTAATTTTCAATCAAATTATAGGATAGAAATGTATTTCGGACTGACAAATTTCAAATAGTGTCAGTCGAAATGTCAAATAAAACAAAATTATTTTCAAAAATTTTAAGGGGGGTGAAGCAGCAGTACATGTATAAAAAGATTTTTCAATATCCATTAATCATCATCTTTAGATCTAATATTTGTTCGCATTTAAATGTAGGACCAAAGTTATCAATGGATCTATATATATATATATATTAGGAACGGGGAACAAATCATCTGTATAAATGATATCAAATTGGCAAGTTGATACGAATCGCATAATTATGACGTCATGATTTCAAAAAAATTAATACAGTAAAATTATTTCACTTCTTTCTGCAAATTTCAAATGTAAAATTTTTTAATCAATATTTTCAAAAATTTCTTTGCTGATTATTTATTCCTCTTTTATTTCAAAGAACTTTTACTATATATTGCAATTCTATAAAAATTGTAAATACATGTATATCAATATACCTGTCTATTTCAAATAAGGGCTGTTCCATTAATACATAAATGGTACCCAGGGAACGTACTTTGAAAATGAGGCAACCACCTTTAGAGTTTCACTTATCTGTACATTTTCACTGTGCAAAAAGTATTTGACACCCATCCATAGCTTTCCCCAAGTCCCATGTATGTTTATATAGAACAGCTGCAAGAGTTTTTTTTATTTGAATTAACTTCCCTTAATTCAAACTTACTTTTGGAGTATGGATTTTTGGTTACACATTAATAAATATTTGGGACTTTATATAAAATTTCAATAAACAACAGACATAATAAATCTAATTCTGTTCTAATGTTTTTAAATGTTTTAACAGACTACTCAGCAGCGTCGCTAAACTGGTTGCCTGTCTCATTAAGTAACGCATATGAGGATCAGACAATGGCTTTCCGCAGGCTGCCTGGGCAGCATTGACTGTACTTTTAAATGAGTTAGTGACCTTAATGACCTCAAAACCGAGCTGCTGTGCTTGGTGAACTGCAACCATCATGATCATGGTTGCCTGAGCGTGAAGGAAGACTTTTGCTAATGTATGCATACAAGTGTTTAGATTTTCTGCTAATTTTTCTTTAGTCTGTGTTGCATTACTGACAAGAAATTTTGCATCGTAAACAAATTGTTTGACTCTGTTATTAAGTTCCTCTTTGCACATTCCAAACTGTTTCGGACGACGGTCAATTCTTGAATCTTTTAATGTCTCAAGAGTTTGTTTAAGTTCTGACAGAAGCCTCTCGGCATCACGAGTGGCTTCTTCAAAGTCACTAATGCTATATGTCTTTTCTAAGATAAATTTCACTGAGTCTGAATGGCTAACACTAATTCTGTCACTAACAATTGCAAAACTTTCCTCTGAAAATGAGCCTTTTCTTTGCCTCATTTCACCATTCGGAACTAATGTTTGAACACTTGATTTCTTACTTTCAGCATTCATCGTTGGAACAGGTGGAGGTTTTCTCATCACTTTTTTGTCTGTTCCCTGAGGAGTTTTTCCGGCAGTGATATCACGAAGAGCATCAAAGTTTGTATATGACCTTGCTTCTTCTGAATCGTCTTTTATTGTACTTTTGCCTCTCATTGACATCGGGCGCCATATACTACTATTACTACCTAATGTCCCAAATGGACTTACGTCTCCTTTAGTACTAGATTTAGGAGTGTATGTACCAGAAATATCATCTTTACTGCCTCTTCTTTGTGAGTTCCTTCTAGGTCTTTGAACTCCACTTGTTGTCTGATCTTGATCATTTTGGTCCTCATGTTTGATGTTGCCATTAGAAACTTTAACTGGAATTGAGGATTCTGAATCAGCAGAGTCCTTTGAGTGTTTTTTATCACCAGATGAAAGAACAGATGATAAAGCCTTCATTGGACCTGATTTCTTTTGTGCAGCTCTCTGTCTCTGAAAATGTAAATGATAAATTATTGACATATATTTATCTTGAACCAATATGCAAATTCAGCTAATGCATAATCACAAAGTTAATATGTTAAAGGTCTGCATGCTTTTAATAGCATGCCTTTATAGTGCACAATAACTGTGATTCCAGTTTTAACAAACATGCAACGGTACATTTACGTATATAATTTTTTAAAATTTTTATCTTATGTTGTTACATCATTTGAGATATTACAAAAATATTCTTGTTTCTCAAAATAATTAAGAATCTGAATAATTATATAAAAATAACATGTCTCATTTTTACCAAAAAATATAATTTACTATACATAATACCCTTGTGTAAATACCATAAAATATCCTTAGTCCAGCATGCAGCATGCATATGCATAAAAAAAATAAATCTAGAAAAAATAGTAAGGAAAAAAGTTCAAATTTCTATTTTATTTATAAGTATTAGTTTCTGAAGTGTGCATATAAAAAGAAATTAGTAAAATCATTACAGTTTTAAGTCATTAAATACATTTTAATGTAATTTTTCTCACACTGACATATTTAAAAACTGTGAAAGATTAAAATGCTGTCAAAATTTTGTGAAAACATAAAATACAAAACAATTGAGAGTTTGTGGTTTATCTTTTACAAAATTTCGTTCTATTTATAAAATTGATATTTTACTATGTACTTTTAATGATTTACATTACAACTTGTCCTATTAAAATGGGTAATTTATTTAATAAAATGATAAATGATTTGAACAAACTCGGAAAATTAATGGTGTAACTGACCCTGTACTGTGAAACATTTCAGAAAATCAACAGGGGTATAGACAGACAAGTAGAAAAAATAATGTAAAAATCTGCGATTTCAACAAAGTCTTTAGATTTCCTGTAGGTGAAATCAACATTGGTGAATTATATGAATTTAATGACGTTTACAAAGTAAACTTTTTTTTTAGCTTAGACTTGGACTTTTCTCAAAATTTTGGGGATATAATTTTATAAAAAACATTTTTTCTACAATTTTACTACTATTTTCTAGAAGTTTGTTTGTTTCTAGATTTCTACACAACCAGAAATCTATCAAAATCTAAAATTACAAAGACGCTAAACACATCTAAAATGGTACTACCCTATAGTATTTATTGAATTGTTCCCCTACTGAAAAAGTCTACTTTAACTAGTAATGAAAGAACATTAGTGAGCGTGCTCACATACCCCACGTCCCCACATTGTCATTGGAGAAATAAAATAAGTGTAAGAAAAAAAAATTGTATCAGAAAAAAAAATTGAATCATAATTTCCTGTCAATTTGCACATCTACATAGTATGTCCTTATTATCTACACAGTTTCATGAAATTCTGTTGTGTGGTTTGAGAGGAGTTGCGATGACAAAAGGTTGCAGTAGTATACTGGGCAAATAAGTTCAAAGGGGCGTAACTCATGGAAAAAAAAATTGAATCGTAATTTCCTGTCAATATGCACATCTACATAGTATGTCCTTATTATCTGAAAAGGTTTCATGAAATTCTGTTGTGTGGTCTGAGAGGAGTTGGGATGACAAAAGGTTGCAGTAGTATATTAGGCAAATAAGTTCAAAGGGGCGTAACTCCTGGAAAAAAATTGAAACGTAATTTCCTGTCGATATGCACATCTATGTAGTATGTCCTTATTATCTGAAAAGGTTTCATGAAATTCTGTTGTGTGGTTTGAAAAGAGTTGCGATGACAAAAGGTTGCAGTAGTATATTGGGCAAATAAGTTCAAAGGGGCGTAACTCCTGGAAAAAAAATGAATCGTAATTTCCTGTCGATATGCACATCTACGTAGTATGTCCTTATTATCTGAAAAGGTTTCATGAAATTCTGTTGAGTGGTTTGAGAGGAGTTGCGATGACAAAAGGTTGCAGTAGTATATTGGGCAAATAAGTTCAAAGGGGCGTAACTCCTGGAAAAAAAATTGAATCGTAATTTCCTGTCGATATGCACATCTACATAGTATGTCCTTATTATCTGAAAAGGTTTCATGAAATTCTGTTTTGTGGTTTGAGAGGAGTTGTGATGACAAACTGTTGCAGTAGTACATTAAAGTAAATAAGTTCAAAGGGGCGTAACTCCTAGAAAAAAAAATTGAATCGTAATTTCCTGTCGATATGCACAACTACATAGTATGTCCTTATTATCTAAAAAGGTTTCATGAAATTCTGTTGTGTGGTTTGAGAGGAGTTGCGATGACAAGAAACAGGACTGACGGACTGACGGATGGACGGACGGACGGACAGATGGACAGACGGACGGACAGACGGATGGGTCAAAAACATTATACCCTCCGCAACTCCTTGCGTGGGGTATAATAAATAGTACAATTAATTTCTTTTTAAAAAACAAAATCCTTTGGGCATGGTTTGACAAAAGTAAAATCCAATTTAAATTAAAATACCATTATTATCAGTACTTTACTGTGAAAAATATGATTGATTGAGTGTTGCTTGCTTGCTTTCAACAATTGGCAAATATTTCATGCATATTCAGGTTGATGTAAAAAGTACAATTTACCATTTCAAAATTGGGTAAGTCTCCTTAGCTGCAGGATACATAGAAATAGTCTGCTTCAGGCGTCTTACATAAGAAGATTTTTTTTTAATTCAAACCCAAAGTGTAACAGTGCAACTGTACACACCAGGCCTGAACAATTTAAAACTAATTTTTCCTTTTTGTAAACATTTTGCATATGACCCCAGGGCTATAGGTTGTGTTCAATCTTAAGTCTTTCAAGAACCATTTTACTTTTACCCTGTTTCATAGTTGTTCAATTGTGAAACATTCATTTTAATATCATATACTTGTTAGGTATTAAATAGTTCTAAGAGAAATCAAAAATAAATTTAATGCACTCTTTTGTCAAATATTACATGAAATCAACATTTAATTCACACATTAATTCCACAACATATTTCTAGTGACATAAATACACCAAATCACCGCATGCCAAAAAAGACAATTGTGATTTTACCTCTTCCGTGTGAATTGAATTCGTGATTGCAGTCCCCTGAAAATTACTATTGAAATTTAATAACACTATCATTTTTTCATTTTCCAGTCCAATACTTCAATATTTATGAATAAAATTTAAAAATGAACTTGTCATGTATAAAAATACATTTAACTCTAATATCCATCTTTGTGAAATCAAATTTTTTTTTTTTACATTTTATGCTTTAATTTGCTTTTCTTTTTCTGTTATTAGGAATATAATGTTTCCTAATTAAGAAAGAGTGAGGCTTATTTGTTTATTAAGATTTTCTTTCCAATCAACATTACAGGTCCTAAAGTTGAATCTTTTAAATTAAATTTTTCCATATGGTCCACATAGTTTTCATGCCCTAATATTACCCCTATTCAACTTCAGGGGAGATAATTGAAATAAATTAATCATCACTCTGTATATGGGAAGTAACTCTACAACTTAAGTGATACATCAGTTTAATAAATTGACACAAATAACTTCTAGCTTTTCTATTGTGATGAAGGACAACGCTGCACAATTCTTAAACATGCATGCATAAGACGGCTTGATTATCACTCTACCAAAAAACATGGATACATATACAACCAGTATAGAAATAACAAAGAAAGTTCACAGAGTGTTTAAAAAAATAAATAACAAAACATTGCACCTTTGCAACTGTTCAAATTATTAAAAGAAACAAGTTATTTTAGCTGCTTCTGTAGTTTATAACTTGGTCTTTCAGAAGGATTGTAGGTAATTTCTTTGTTAGTATACACCATTGATTGGATATCCAAATGTAAGGACTTTGTTAGTCAATCACAAATTTTGGAGTACCATATTTAGCCGTGTATAGTACACATTTTTAATCCCAAAAATGTAGCTGTAGAGCAGATGCGTATTATACATAACTATAGACGGTACATTTTAAAAATATTATCGAGAATACATAATAGTTTCTGAAACCATGGATTGACTGATAGATGTTGTACAAATTTAGGTGCAAAAAATATATTTGTTTTTGTTTAGAACAGATGAAGAAACTCCTGGAGAAAAGTGCAATGAAGAAATGCATGAATTTACATTTAAAAGGGTTTGACCTTTAATTGGATTTTGAACTTTCAATGGTGAATTTAAATGTCTTTTATTTTCCCTTTTTCAAGATCCCTCTAGAGCTACAAATAATCTACAAATTCAAAATTTTGTTATTGTTTTGTATTAACTTGTCCTATATAATACATGTCAACAGAAAACGTGTATTTTTGCTGAAATTAATTGTGCTATGAAAAAGTTAAATAAAAAATACATAAATTTATTTTACCATGTACAGTTCAGTTTCAAACTCGGGTATTGGTTCACTCAAATATACTACAATTTGTTAGAATTTTTGGGGAAAAATGTTTTAAAAAGTACAAATAATCACAATTATTAATCAGCATGTCAAAATAAAGCAATAGCTAATGTTCTGGGCAATTGATTTAATGATATTTAAACAGCACTAATGTACTGTTACTAAAATTAATTAAAAAAAAAATTCCAAATTAAAATTAAATAAAATATGGTCATAGACATTTACAATATATATATCTTTTAAATATGTTAGATTATTTTGATATTTTAAATTGTAGTTTGAAAACTAAGGAAGGATCAAACCAGTAAGCACATAATTCTTCCAAAGTAAAATTGAGAAATAAGCAAAAAAAAAAAAACCATGTTAAAAAGAGGAATTGGATTACAAACAAAACTATTAAAATTCAGCATGTTCAGCTTTTATCTATTTTTTTTGACAAACTGGACAAAACAGGACAATTCACAAACTAGCATGTTAAAATATACAATTTCAAAATCATTTTAATAGGTATATAAAAACATATTTAGCATGCAAAGGATGTCTGACAATTTAATAAAAAAGTGTTTTTTTTTTGCAGAACTGTACATGGTATTTACACACACAGTGATGACACGTCACACAAACATGTGTCTGGGACAGAAGCATGAGCTAGCTACTGACCTTTTTATCGAGGGGGTATGTATAATGCTGGAATATAAGAATCGTCACTATTCAAATACAACATCAAATGAACGACAAGTATGAAAACCACATTACATTTATTCACACATTTTTGTGTTTCCTTGCAAATTTGTGTATTTTGACTAGAACTCTAAATCTAAAACCATTAAAAATATTTTAAAAGTATTGCAGATGACTATGTAAGGCAAATAATGGAAATATTTCACTTAGTCCATAATTGCCAAATGTGCTAACCATCTGATAAATTGGGTTTAAAAATTGAAAAAAATTGAGAATCGTAATATATTGCTTAAGATTTGCAAACTATAATTTAGCAAACTCTTTTTTGTTGATATCTCATATTTTAAAGCAATTTTGTAACAGCATTGCTATATAATAAATCTAAAATTTTGCTTTTTAAATTGCCGCCAAAAAAGCTCTGAGAAAAACAGTAAAATCTGCCATTTCTTGCTGTCCAAATCCATAATTATGATATATTGTTTTTTTTTTAAATGGAACAGACATAAACCTGTGAACAAATGAATGTGGATTTCATCTCTATTTGTGCATGAATATATGATGATATAAACAATGTACATTCAAATTAAAATTGTGATAATGTGCTAATTCATTCACACTCAAGTTTACATAGTATACATGATACTTCATGCAACCAAACAGTTAAGTAATGATAGAAAAAATATTATTCATTATTTATCAAGTTAAGATTGTCAATAAAAATTTACTATTTATGATTAAAATAACATGCTTGGCTACTTTTGATCCATCAGAATGATATTAATGAACCCTTTGTATCTCCCTAAACTAGATCTTGCTGAAATTTACTTGTCACTTGGACAATAGACCAAGATTTATAATATAATATAGAATTTGATAAAAATCATTAGAACAGAATAAAAATGCTTTATGAAATTATTCTTAATTCCTCAAATTTTAAAATTTTAAAATTTTTTAATTTATCACCAATTTTTTTTTTTTTTTTTTTTTACTATAAATGATAGAAAAACAATAAACTGCTTTCCCCTTATATGTTTTTATTGTTTATCTTATTCAATTGAAAAGAGATACAAACATTAAATATTATCTACACTGAGAATTCAAATTTTCGAAGTAAAATTAGTATTGAATATAAGTGATGAAATTCACAAATAAAACAAGACTTATATGAGAAACAAACAATGAACACGCGTGACCACCTCATGCTAACATACCCAATTGCCGATTCTCGCACATGAATCAAATTTTAAATCTACCAGGATTTGCTGTAACTGTAGGAATTATATTGATCATGTAAAATTTTCTGATTTTTAAAAAATAAAATCATTGAAATATTTTTTGTCAAAAGGGAGATAACTCTCGTGTCTATCATGCAAAAACAACATGATGCAAAACATACAAAATATTTTTTTGCAGAAATTTCATTTAATTTGTATAAATTTGTGATTTTTAATATTGAAATAGTTCCTGTCTCAAGGGAGACAATTCTAACATGCAAAACAACAAATAATTGTGATAACTTCATTATGATAAAAAAAAAAATAAATGGTTCAAGAATTAATTACAAACACTGGTGAGAACTAAATAAAACTTACTAAACTAAGTTAAAATGTCTGCAGACAACAGTGAATAGTTCATGCCTACTTTGAAATTAAACAAGCACTCAATACGCAAATTATAAAATTATGAAAACCAAAAAATAGCTGAATTTATACTATACTTTTTAAGCCTAAAAGCAAAGCAATTCTAATTCCTTTCTATTCTTTCCGGTCATATCTTAATTTAATTTTCTCAAAACATTTTAAAGACTAAAGCAGTCTTAAGTAGATAACCTTACCTGTACTGATAGCGTGGAATGAGGTTTAAATGTTGATCTTGGCAGTGTTAGTGTACTTAAAACCTGAGGAACTTTCCTGGCACTTTCTTCAGTTTCCTTCGATGAATTTGACTGTCCACTTTCAGTTTCTTTATTTTTTCTGGTATCTAAAGAATCCAGTGAGTTAGATCTACGTTTTAGCCAGTTGAATGTAAATGAATTTGAACGTTTTAAAGGACTATTTGATTCACTGCTATCTGTTTCTGCAGTTATATCTGTTGAAGTTAGAGATGATTTTCTCTGTTTTGTATCATCAGATTTACTCAATAAATAATCACGATAAGATTTTAATTTTGCTTTCAGCGATGCAAAATTATCTCCCCCTGATTTATCAGAAGTAGATTTATCATCGTCCTTTTTCGGTATAATGTCAAATGAATGAGTCCGTCTCAAATGGCGAGAATATTTTGAATTGTTTTCTGATTTTTCTGGACTTTTGGATTCCTCGTTTTTCTTCACAGGATCTGCAGGTCTATTTTTCTTTGGTGAAATATATATAGGTCCAGGTTTCTTAGGGGGGAGTTCAGCATTTTTGCCCTTTACACTTTGTTGACCATTTAAAAGCACCTGAAATGAATTGCTTCTAGCAACTTTCTTACTTTGAATCACTTCCTGTTCATTTGGTGGTGAATTAAGAACTTCAAATGACGCACTTTTTCCCAAACGTAAAGATGAAGTCCGTCGAAATTTCATATCACTCTCTGACACATTACCAAAACTTGGCATGGATTGAAGAAGAATATTCAGTTTTTCTGACACAGTTGCAGGCGATTCAAAATCCTTCACAGGATTTGGAGCAGTCAGTAAGGATTTTGGTGGAGTAATATTTTTATCACATGACTTGGGACTACTTTCAGTCTTTGATTCAGACTGTGTTAATGATTCATTAAATGATCGAAGACTAGAAACATCAAGAGAACTAGATCTTCTATGTGTGTAACGTTTTTTCGTAATACCTGAATGTTTTGAGTCTGACATTTCACTATCTACCGGAGGGACTATTTTTATTTCGTCAATAGATTCTGACACCTCACCAGGTGGCGGAGGAATCACTAAGGAATTCAAAAGTTCGTCGGATGAGATCAATGAATCAGCACCATTATACATTTGGGAATCCTCGTCTTCAAAATGAAACTGCAAAGAGTCTGCAAGGTCATGAGAAGAATTATCAGTCATGCATGAATCGGGTGGAGGTGGAATCATCATGGAGGCGATAAATGAATCAATGTCATCATCCAGGAAATCTGGATTGTCTCCCATGCTTGCTGACCTCTCAAATAATGGGGGATGATATGGCTTTTTGCTCTCAGTATCTTTCCGTACATCTATAAAGAAAAAATAAAATTTATTTTAACTCATAAAAATTTTGAATTTTTCAACATGTTTTATAAGATGCCTCAGCATAATTGCTTCATTTTAAAACTAAGGAGATGTGGTATGATTACCAATGAGACAACTATCCACCAGAGTAAAAATGATGTGAATGTCAGCAACTAGGTATTATTATTATTATTATTATTGTTTGTTTGATGGGTTTTTATAGTATTGCCAAAATAATTGTACAATTTCATGGCAGTCTGTCATATTGGTGAAAGAGATCAGAATCAAGACTTGATGACTTTTAAAGAATATTTATATCAACAATTTACAGTACACCAACAATGAATCTTTGTACTGCAATTTGGAATCTAACCATAATATTTCTTTTACAATGACCCCAAAGGTTTGCTTTTTACTGCATAGGTAACCAGTTAGTATCCAGCCTTACAGGAAAAGAGAGTGTTTGACTGTATTTATCTCATTCATCATTTTTACCAGTGAAATGTCACTTCTTACTGAACCAAATTTGTACTAGATGTTGCTAACTTAAAATATACGTTTTAAAGACTTTTGTACCAATAATATGGTAACTTTACAGCAATTGACAAATATACCGGTAACATGCATTAAATTGATAAAGTCATGAACCCTGATTTGTACTAGAATGACATGCTATTCCACATATTTGATGTTCTAGATCACATATTGTTCCATCTCTTAGTCATCTTCTTTTTGACAAGTGCTTAGAGAAACAGCCAATTCCAATTTTAAAATCTTTGGTTTGACCTGATCATGGATCAAACTTGTGTCCACCTACACTTTAGGCAATGTCTGATTTATTGATCAATTGTTTGTCTTTGTGTTTAACACTGCTTTCAGCATTCTTGGTTATTTCATGGCTGTCAGTTTTATTGCTCGAGGAAGCTTTAGTACACTGAGAAAACCATGACCTTCTACTAGATAAACTGTTGACACACAGATATGTCTTGGCATAAAATTCAGAAAACGACAATCTAATGGACAGCAACATTGCTTATTAATTCAAAGTCGCTAGACCATGATGAGGGCAGGGCCTCGAAATAGTCGTCAAATTGATATGTACTGATAGTAATGCAACTTTATATATATTAAATATCAATGATCTATCACAAGCAGTTCCTATCAAACTAACTTAAGCAGCAAACTTAGCAATTGTTGATGCTGTCGTCGCCGTAAAAGCAATCCCTATGTCTCCCTTTCCGCGATTTTCCTTTCAAGCAAGACAAAAACTGGTCCCAAGCAAAGTATGTAGACTAAAGTGTTACTATACAGCTTACCTATAGCTGATAACAGTCTGTTTTAGTGCTTACCTTATTGTACTTTCTATTGCCTTCTAGTTTATCATTCACAACAGGCAAAGTCTTGAGAACATGAGAAATTTTGAGTGAAAAAGAAAGTTTCTTTTTTTTTCACTTTTTGTAATATTGTTCCAAAATAAAAAACAAAATTGTATTATAAATGTATGTTAAGAAACGTACACTGAATATCCATACATCAAATAATGAGTTAAAAAGTCTGTTCCTATAAATTGGTTAAATTTTGTTTATTAAAAAAATTTTCAAAATAAAAAGAGGTAAAATAAGGAGGATGGTCTCAACAAAATTACGATGCAAAATTAATTACCATAACCAATGGGTAAACTGGAGGTAAGTGATGGCTGCCAGGTTGTCATAGTTTCATCTTGGTCATGTGACGTGGGAGGTGGTAACAAGGTTAAATCTGTCAAATAAAATGTTGTTTGGGTAAAGCATTAAAGGTTAAAATGGTTAGTGTAAAAAAATAAAAAGTTAGTAGTAACAAATTAATGAAAGGTAGAAGACAGGATGTGGTCCCAGTCTTTCTGTTAGGTTGTCTTTTCTTCCTTAGGAATTTTTTGTTGCCTTTAATTTCACTGTTTTTCTTCTCTGCCTTTAGGAATTTGTTGTTCCTTTAATTTTACTGATATTGATCCTTATACTGCACTTTGAAATCTTCTGTTTTACTCTTGGTATCTATCCTTTTATCTTTCTTTCCTGAATTGGATTTTTTTTTTTTTCTTACAAACCTTTTCACTTGCTCTCGTCACCCTAACCAATTCTTGATAATGTATTGATGTATTCACCAATTTTCTTGTTATCATTGTATATATATTTATATATACTGTGGATTCTTTTTTATTCTTGGGATACCAATGTTTGTGGTTACTGGTAAACAAATTTAAATATTCAACAAAACAAAAGTTTTGTACAGGCTTGTATTTAGACTTTTGCAAAACCTCGAAATCAAATGTCCACAGTACACAACATTGACTTATTTTTTATTACCAATTTAATTTCAATCTTTTTTTTTCATCTTATTGTCTCCTTTTAGTTATGCATTGTATAGCTGCAATACATCTGTTTTTGTTCCTAACTTTTGATTATGAGCTGTGTCTAATAAAGGTAAATCCAAAAGGAATTCCAAAATCAGAGAAATTTGGTATCTTCAACTATCACAACTCTATAAGCAACTGAAGAGGACAAAATGTACTTTTCTTCAGTAAAACGAAATACTTGACTCTAATGGTTACAACAAATAATAAAATTTTTAACTGAAAATGTAGAGTATTGTTTAACTTGCAACAAGTAAATACATTGCTTGTCCTTAACCATAAGTAAAGAAATTTCTTCTAGGTGTTAAAGATTTCATGCAATTGTCATTCAAAGAACCTACATGCAGTTTAAAATTAATAATAATAAAAAACTTACATGCATTTTAAAATCAATGTTAAATGAACAAGGGAACTTTTGAGGAGGGATTAAATCAACATTATACCTATAATATCAGGGTCTATAAATAACTTTCTTTCCGAGAACATTCTTGGATCTAAGATTCCATCTTCTATTCCTGGAGGAATCTTGTCTGGACTGAGCAAACCAAAGCTAGAAGCTATAACCTGGAAGTCAGTCTCTGACCTTGGCAGTTCGTCTGGATTGTGAATACCAAAACTTAATCCATCAACTATAAAAAAGAAGAAAGTAATATAAAGTCATTTTATCAAAAAATGTAAAACGATTTGGTTTGAGCACATAACTGTAAAAAAGATTTCCATACAACGGAGAATATTCTTGCGGTATACCGTGTACTTATACATGCTCTTGACATCTTATATCATGTGTCTTGACTTAAATATTCATTAGAAAAGGATAGCACTTTTTGTCTTCAAGTAAAACATAATTTATTTAAATGGTTACAGAATTCCTCAATATATCTTGAGAAAATGCCAAAACAGAGTAAAAAACAAATAACTGCAAATTTGTTTGCACAATCAAGTTTTTTTTTTAATAAATGATCTAATCAAATGAAACGTTAATTTAAATATCTTTTTGCACATTTTCCATAAAAGATTAGGAAAATTGTTTGTAATTTTATTTTCCTAATTATTTCTTCATATTTCAAAATAAACATTTCAATATTGACAATTGATTTGACAAATTCATTTCAGCATCAATTATCACTGCTTTATTCTAAAAATCACTATTTCTATAAAAGAAAATTGTCTGCGAAAAAAAAGATTAAATATCATACTACATATATTATATTTGTATTCAAATGTAAAAACATAAAATATAAGTGATTATAAAAATATATTATTAATTAATGTGCTCATAAATGAAGAAAGTAAATAATTTAATTTGTATCTTTTTTTTTAGGTCTCTTAGACTCGTAGTAATTTGGAGTAGTTGCATTACAGATATTGTGCACTTCTCCTACATGGGGGAGGCGTGTAACTACGTGACAAAATAAATCTAAAATTGTGTTTATTAAAACAATTTAAGAAACGTGGTTCCTACTATACATGATTGCCAAAAACAAAAACAAAAAATAAATTGAAGCATATAAATGCTAGGTTATTTTTTTTTACTTTTGAAATACTTAAAATAATTGCTGTAAATTTTAGTGAAATAATATATAAGCAATAGGTGGATAAAAAATAAATAAATTTTGATATTATTAATTTTCTTTGTTAGTAGATAAAGCCAAATGGCAAATGGTATTAAAAATATATTCTACAATCTTGTAAATTCTCAAGCGATTAATTGTCCAATTAAAACATGTTTTGTACAATGCCAGCATCATATGTTTATAATCAAATTCACAAATTCAGCAATACTTATGTCAAGCAAATTCCCAAACCAATAAAAAAGCAACCAAACCAAGCAAACAAAAAGCATAATATTTGACAAGCTTTAATATCAGAAATTTTGACCAAAATGACCACATAGGAATTGATAGATAGACATTTTATCGTTATCTTTTCAAAACTCTCTGCAAAGTCTGGTACTGTTATATCATATCTATCTTTTTTCAGTAAAAAGTAAAATAACAAAAATACTAGATGATTTTTTTTTCTCCAATTTTTCAGTAGTCTTTCAGACAATTTTACTGTACTATAATTTATGAAGGTATCAATTTAAATCTGAATGTTGCATATTAAACTACTTGTTAAGACATACTCATTGGAAGTAAATGATAATTTGCAAGCATCAAATCATGAATTGATGCATGCAAACTGCAAAATTACAAAGCTAATATAAATATTGTAAAACGAATCCAAAGAAATAGAAATGAAATATTATGCAAGTCAACTTAAAAATGTTTTTTTTTTTTTTTTATAAAAAATACATTTAATGCCAAAAGGGGAGATAAAATATATATATATGCACAAAAGCTTTAAAAACCAACACCTATATATATATATATGATAAAACTGTTTTATATATTTGTTTAAATTATTATATTTTCTTGTCAATTAGTGGCAACAAGCAGGTGAGGTATATTCTAATGTCATCAATCGTTGATTTAAGGTCTTGAGTTTTACAACCCCATCCAATCAAAATTCACTTACAGAAAATGAGACATTAGAATAAAGTTAGTATATAAGTACTCACACCACAAAACACCCATATTAGTAGCTTCCACAAGTCTACCTTTTTCTGGACTACTAGACGGATGACCCCAACTATCACTGTCGCTGTCCACACTCTCCGCATCGCCGGGATGAGAATCAGGGGGACCTAACTCTCCAATCACAATCTTCTTTTCACTTTCTACACCACTGTCGGTATCAGAAAGTTCGTCACTACTCGGTGGTTTAATTTCAGAAATCTCAAACATGCTTCCATTCTGATAACCTTGATCAATTGAATCATCGGATTTCTTCGGAATTTTGTCACTGACTTTTGGACTAGTTTCCTCCCCTGGACGTTTTAATTTATTTGTGTACTGTATTAATGTATCTGGTTCCTTTCCAATCAATATAACACTTTTATTTTTAGGTTTATCATCTTTCTGAACATTGTTATTATCACTGTCATCCTGTACAAGGGAGATAATTCCGGTATCCATAGGACCATTTTCTTTATTTTCTCCCTGTAATAATCAATGCAAATATGATCACAACATTTCAATTGTTTTACATAACATTCTACCCTTTACAGTCCCTTCGGACCAATGTTAAACTCTATGTGTCTTGTTTTATGTAATTGTAAGGTAGCTGTCTCACTGACAAAATTTTATGCAAACAGTTAAGGTTAAATTCTGGGCTGTTTGCAGCATGTTTTTTTTTATAGAGTAATTGACTAACATAACAGTTTATTCTTTTTCTTTCATGGTTAATAAAATTTTAAAAAATTCCCCTTTCTTTTTAAATGAAGATGCATACATAAATCTTTATTCAATGACTTGATCTTTCAAATATGCATTAACCTTCTGAACTTTCAAATTAGTGAGTCACAAATTGTTAATTTCCTTCTTTAACAACTGATCAAATATGTATATCGTAGAACTTTGCAATACCCTTCTGCTTTTGTTGCTATTTAATTAACTGTGTTATATGTGTTTGAATTATCTCCCTTTGAACTTAAACATGCATCTTTGTCTTCTATTTTTGATACTGAATTTTGTCCATATTATTGTTATCAGTTTAGTTTTTTCTGTCATTGGTACTTTACAAATGATACTCTGTTTTTCATGGTTACTTCATTTGGTCATTTCTACATACATGTTTTGCTCAATGTTGAAGGTCTTACAATGACCTATAGTTGCTCACTTCTATGTCATTTAGTCTCTTGTGGAGAGTTGTCTCATTGGCAATCATACCGCATAGATCTCCTATTTTTTTTTATAGGTAATTTGCATTTTGTTGAATACTTGAATTTAAAAGTTAATCTTAACCAATGAAATCAGCAAAAATTGGTTCCCCATGCAAAAATCAGTCACCCATGAATAAATATGAATCCACAGTATTGAACACTTACTTCGATACCCAAATCTTCTTTTATTTGTTTAATGTATTCTTGACTTTCTTCATAGTTTGGTGGCCCTCTTCTACAATCAACAACCCTCTGGTTTTCTAGGATTTCACTGTCTTCTATACCAATCACCTGAGAGACAATATCTTCTGGATAACTCCAAGGAGCTGCTATCACACGATGCTTACTGGTATAAACTGGTACTAAAATATAAAGCAAATAAGTTTATTATTCTGACGTCAAATTTATTCTATTCAGAAAAAAACAATATGGCCAACTTTTGACTCATTTGTTCTCCTGTTGTATAAACTAGGCACAACTAAAGATCTGACTTTCCAGATCAACAGAGTTCACCTTAGTTTTTGGTTAGGTTTATGTTGCTTAATCTAAGGTTTTCTATGTAATTTTTTGTGGACTGTTGCTGGTCTTTTCATCTTTTTTCTTTTAGGACAGTATTTATTGTCTGTCTTCTCTTGGTATTTTCTTACTTTTTCCACATCTCCCCCTGCATTTCCCATGAGTCAACTCTCTGAATCCATTACTAGTGTTAACCTAATTAGCTATTACTTTTGGAAAACATTGAAACCAACCAGAAATAGTCACTTGAAAGGGGGAATAACCCATGTCCAAAATATAATTTCCAAGTCAAATTCTACATTCCTGAAACTACAAATCTAAGTAATTTCTATCAACTTATTTTATATTTTGAATACCGGCAGTTTTTATATAAATTTTTCATTAAATGACTCAATCATATCATTAGGGGATTCTAACTTTAGAAATTTTAATATCAAAGGTTTTTGCAGTATATCTATGAGAAACCATTGATAGGTATATTTTTGAAAGAAGACCATTTGTAGACCTTTAGCTAATCTGTTGGTTATTTTTGTTTAGTTGGGTTACTGTCTCATAAATGTATACCCCACATCTTCTTTTATTCATAAGCCAGTTGCTTATAATTCTATCTAAATTTCAATGTGTTTTATAATTGTCCATTCGCCATTCGTTAAACATTGTTTACAGAGCGATAAACAAAATAAACCCCAATACAATACATTAATGTTACAAGTCAATGCATGCATTTTATTGCACACATCTGCATTTAATATGCAAATTAAATCTCTCAACTTTTGAAATGACTAATTAATCTATATTACCTATATACGATTATAAACAATACCTACATTTTAGAATTTCCTTTAATATTATCCCGTTATTCTAATGAGTGACACAATGTTATGGACTAAACTATAAACAGATTAAAAACTTTGGAACATAAAGAGATTATAGGAGATTTGTCTTTAATTTAGGGCCAAGAAATAACAATTCTTTTTCATTTCCTTCAAATATTTAATGATTAATGTCTTATTTTTTCATGTTCTTATGTTAGATTAACATTTATTTATTAACTTATTTTTTGTTTGTTTACAAACATCTTAGTATTAAAGAGGTATATTTTTAAATCATTGATTATTAAGTTTAAAACATTTTATAAATAAATTGGTATTTTTGTTACAGATGTTTTTTTTTTATGTTCAATTGTTTATAATTTGTTAAATATGACTTATGTTAACAAGCAAAGAAAGGAAAAAATAAATTATATACATTTTTTCTTTGACCTTACACAATCCTTTGTACAAAAGACTACAATTTCATAAAGTAAATATACAAGAATGGTGTCATATAAATATGACATATTAATATTCAATAAAAACATATTTCATTGATTAGATAGGTGTAAACTTTAAGGTGGTCCTGTGTAAATATGTACCTACGAAAGAAGAACAATATTGGAATTCTTAAAAGGTAAATACAGTGCATACTCTTGACCCCTATAGAAAAATATCGACATTCTTCTATGTTTCTTTGAGAAAATTGTAACTTTTTTTACTTAAATTTCTATATAATTTTAAGGTTATAAATTTCTACAAAATTATGAGGTTAATATATATATGAAAACGAAAATAACCCAAATCTCTGATAGATAGCTGGGCATAAACACGGTGCATTTAAGGCATAACCTTGAAAATAAAAATATCCACGTTCTTCTATGTTTTCTTGGAGCTTGCAAACCTTATTTTGAACAAATAATAAATTAAAAAGATAACAGGAGTTACCAAATATATTGATATTACAACACACCACACCAACCACTAACATCCAACTCACAGACATCCAATGACAAACAACAATATATAAATCATGGTCCAGATAGCCGACTTGGTACAGGCACTATATGTGATGGGGGTTAAACCAGTCATAACAAACCAACCCCTTGCTTATATAATTAGTATTTACACCTTAAAACTTATATTCATATTTGCCTACTGAATTTGGAATCAGCAACACGGCTGCTGCCACCAGTGGAACAGGAATTGCTTACTCTTCTAAGTTCAACCCATGTTTTGATGAGGTCTGTGTTGCTCAATCTTTAGTTTTCTGTGTAGTGCTTGTGGAATGTTGCTTGTTTTTCTCACCCATTTCCTTTTTGGCCATAATGATGTATGTTTTTATTGCACTTATGGATTTTCATTGCTGCTTAATGGTATCTTCTTGTCTTTTTATACAAAAAGATTTCACTTTTCAACATTTAAACTATGAAGGCATCACCAACAACTCACTGATTTCTTTTTAAGATTTCATTTAGACAACACAATGGGAATACATCTTCACATAAAGTTCATTATTCAAATTTCTAGCATTCTTAGAAAAAAATCATTTGCATTTATTCCATTGGAAGTTCTCGATTGATATAATGAATTCTCAATCTTACTTGACAATAGTCTGAAGGCCCATTTAGACAGATCAATGCATTTTTGATGAGAAATCAGAATTTTTCTGCAATCTATGACAGCTATTCAATGCTTTATTTACATTCTGACAGCTAAGTTAAAAATCAATTCTGACCTACAAATCTTATCTCAAGTCAAAAAAAGATATTTGTATCTAAAATGCACTTGCGTTATCCTGGTTTTCAATTATCTGTTGACTCACAGTCAATTCCTGAATTAGTTGTCTAAAACAAGGAAATATTTGAATCTGGAAAATTAATAAATATGTATGATGAAAACTAACCAAACTAAATAGGGTTAGCCATGCGTGCATAGCCAAGGTTCACATTACTTTTACCGATATTTCAGTATAAACTAACAAACCCCCCTTAGCCATGCATGCATGGCTAACCCTCCAAAATTGTGTTAGTTTCTTCATACATTTCTAACAAATATCCCAGAACTCAAAATTATTCCAGATTCAAATAATTCCTTGTTTTAACATGAAAAATAAAAGGGGTGAAATATTTTAATATTTCAAGAAGCAATTCAGTATCACCTAGATGGTGGATACAGGATTTTGAAAAAGGAGGAGGAGCAACAAGGAGACAACCTTAATTAGCAGGTGGACAAGTAAACAATCTATGAATTAACCATAAATGTAGCTAGCCCTTTCCTAAATCTGCTTCTGAATCTTAAATTGGAATTTAAATTGCAGACTTTGGAATTAAACATTTTACATGATAAATAAAAGTCTATAAAATATTTTGGACATTGCTGATTTTTTTTGTAGGTGCATGTAAAGGGCATACAATTCAAACTGACCGTTTCTATTTAGGTCAAGGCCATTGTAAAGATTCCAGTATAATAAATCATAGCAAAAACATGCCAAGTAACAGGCAGTGTTTTGTAGGTAGGTAAAGAGCATACAATTCAAACTGACCTTTTCTATTTAGGTCAAGGCCATGGTAAAGATTCTAGTATAATAAATAACAGCAAAAACACACTGACTTACAGGCAGTGGTTCAATTTCATTACTATGATAGACCTTTCATCAGTTGAGTACTGTCAATTCAGAAATTATTGCGTGCATTTATTATTGCGATTTTGTCATTTTAGACTAAAATGCGATTTTAATTTTTGCGATATTGGGAAAAATCCTGTTTAAATTCAAAAATGCGAGTTCAAATTATTGCGATTATAACCCTGTCACATTTTTCGCAATAATTTCTGAATTTACAGTCACTGAACAAACAAGACGAGATGAAATACAAATACTGGAAATAATTTATAGCTCTTTTAGAGCAAGATAATAATAAGTTTTATCAATAATATATCTAAATTGATGGATTTATCTATAACCTACCGATCGTTTCTTCATCCATTACCAAATATTCCAATTTAGTAATATTTATTATCAAAAACAAAAATACCCAATTTTTCATTCAGCGATAAAATGATTGTAATTCAATATAATTGGAAATGTAGGAGTTATTGCACGCTGTATTACAGCAAGTAACACATTTTATACGGAACTGAAATTTCAATTTTCTTCACGATCGTCCATTATCAAATCCAATTACAAGAATTTTGAGAATTCCATAAAAACAAACAACTAAAATTGCTAATAATCTAAGCATACAAAATGAAATTAATGTTGTAACAAAATAATTGTGAAATTTAATCAAATAAACAGTCTTCTGAATTGTCATGTAATTTAAAAAATTCATATTTTCATCAAAATTATAACTGAAACTAATGTTACATCAGAATTACAACATACATAAAGTGTGCATGATGAACTACCCAATTTCATATTCTGTAAATTGATATTAAAACATGAAACCTTCTTCTCCATCATAATTAACAAAATCACAAGTTTACCTCATTCAGAAGACAAAACAATTGAAACCTAATCCATCATCATTGAAAAAAAATCAATTTTGCTGCTTTCAGAAGAAAACACATTTTTGGACATTAACCAAAAATTCATTCCCAGTAGGTTTGTCAAATATTTGAAATATTCATCGGCAAATAGGAAGTAACTGCAAAACTGATATGAAAATTCACCGTTTCTGAATCTAAATGATTTTTGGTAATTTCATTGTTCGTACCCTAAAATGAAAATACCATCACGTCATTGGTTAAATTCCAATTGCTTGGAATGCTGTCAGCCAATCACAACGTTTTGGTTTACACTTTTGAAAATATTACCCAGAATTCTTAGATTCTGAAACGGCGAATTGCTTACAGGATACAAATCAACATTATAAAGTTCCTGAACAAATATCAAATCATTCCATAATTACAGAAGCTGAGTAAGTTTTAACTCAATTAAAGGATGGTTGGAAGAACAGACTGATGGATAAAGTCACGGCAGTCACATAATGCCAGTCACTGTGTGTGTGGGGTTATAACACTCCTCAAGTAGGGGTATAAATTGCATTATACCATTAAATCTGTGTGTGTGAGGTGGGGCGAGGGGGGAGTGTAAAAAATGACAACAACCTACATACATTTTTTTGAGTTTGTACTTTTTTTCATACTATAACTATAAAGTACTGAAAATGTACCTAGATAATATAGTACTTTTACAGTACTTCAGAATTATTGAACTGTTTCAAAACCTTTATTTCACAGTACTGGATGTGTACTTCAAGTTGAATAAGTAGTACATTTTAGTACAAAAACTATTTTTTAGCAATCCACTCCTTTTGAATTATCACAATTTTAGTAAAATTTCCTATCAACTTCTAGTAAAATAATAAGTACTATATATTTATTGTACCTTCATTGTACTACTATAGGGATGTACAAACCTGGAACTTCAAACAAATCTAGTACTGTCAAAATATGGTACTAAGATAGTACAATAATTCAGTAAATACTAGATAGTACTATATTATCAAGGTAGTACTATATTATCAAGGTACAGTTTCAGTACTGTAAAGTTACAGTATTAAATAAGTACATGTGCAAAACTAAACAAGACACACATCAGCAGTTTGAATGTCCCCTTGGTATCTTATGGCTATTTTTTCATCAGTCTATAAAGATTTTAAAGGTTAAGTATTTTGTAACATGCGCAATTAAGTGACTAAAAGAAAAGGTCCATTTGTCAACTAAATGACAAGTACATTGTACCTATGAAAAAAAAACTTTCATCCTTTCATTGGAACATCTTTGTAAAAGTTGGCATGCTTATATGCAAACTTTTTACTGTAAACCTTTAATACTATTCACAAAAGTTTGACATAACTTTAAGTTTCATGCTAGGTATTATATTATTTGTTTAAAGACATCTTATTCTACATATACTTATAAAAGTGGGCCACACATGGTCCGTTTTGACTAATTGAGATTAAGGATATTTTCATTAATCTGTTTAAATCTGCTTAATTATGGCAATTAAAACATGAAATCTGTTTGAAAAACTTGTTTTTACAATTTGAAAATACAACTTAATCAACACCATAAGTTAGCCATTAGGCCATACAAAATTAATTTCCCGTATGTCAGACTCAGTCTCATAAAAAATTTCTAAAATTTCTAGAAAAAAATATTCTTTCCAAATTAATTACCCTCCCCCCCTCCAACTTTTCAATAATACATAAAAAAAAGAATGCACTCTAAAATATGATCTTTTAAAATTTTAAGTACAAAAAAATCAATACCTAAATTGAATTTTTTTCTATATCTCATAAAATCAAAGTACAAAAAAAATCATATTAGCAAGACCTAATCCTATTCATCACAGTTTATAGGAATTGAAATAAATCGTTTAGTTCTATTTCTGGGCAGACATGCCAATTTCAATTTCAAAACTTAAAAATGGAACTAAAATTGATTATAGGGCATAAAAGTACAAGTTTTGATCTATGTCTCAATTCAAATCAAAAAGCTTTATTTAAAATCGGCATGTCACGAAACAATAAAATAAGCTATTTCTATTCACAATACAAACTAAATAACCTCAAAATCTTAGCAAATCCTGTTACTATTTCAAATGTATTCAATTTGTGGTAAATTTATTATATTATATAATTTGCACTTTCTTTTCAGGAGAAATTAATAAATCATCCCATTAGATAACCAATATCAGCAGAACATCAAACAGTTTGACAAAATTAAGTCATAACTGATTAACCACTACAAATAGTATGTACTATAGGTAATAATAGAGAAGCTCGTAGGTTTGACTGCAGTTTTCATATTCCATAAAAAAAAAAAAATTTTCCATAATTTCCTTTGAAGCTAAATTTCATCATAAATCATTTTTTTATCTGTTAATGTTTGTTTACAATGATTTCCTTTCGTAAACATATCTACTGTCTTTACATCTCATCAGATATAACTGATGGTTGCAATTTTGAAAGCTATATTGCTGAAATAATCAAATAAGTTTTGGTCAGTTATTCAATTCTCTGAATATGTATAAAAGAGGTGTGGGTGTATGGCATTGCGACAATTAACAACACAATTAAACCTAAACAGACAATCTAGAGGTCAGCATACAGGCTTTGACAATAGACAAATTGTCAATTAAATACAATTATTTTGCAATTTTTCAAACATGTTTTTTTTTCTCAAGATTCTAAATATCTCTTCTAGACAATTCCAAGGAATACAATAAACATTGTTAAAAATAAATGGAGAATGTGTCTATGGGCCACAGATGCCGCCCCCACTTGTAAATATGCATGAGTCAATTTCCACATAAAGATGCAGGATTCACGTAGTTATGACTGTTTTGTGATTATAAGCATTGTGTATAAGTTTCATAACATTTGGTTGATGCAAACTAAAGTTAGAGAACGGAAACTACAGATTTAGCAATTTTTCCATTTATAAAGGGGCATAACCAAAGAACGGTAAAAGTGATGCCACCCAATTTCGGACTTGATCTGTGTTTTGTGTAATTAGCATTGTGTATAAGTTTGAGGCAAACTAAAGTTAGAGAATGGAAACGAAAAATTCAGCAATTTTCATGTTAATAAAGGGGCATAACTCATGAACAGTAAAAGTGATACCATCCAATTTCGAACTTGATCTGTGTTTTGTGGTAATAAGTACTGTGTATAAGTTTTATAACATTTGGTAAAGACAAACTAAAGTTAGAGAATAGGAACCAACTTTGGGGACGTACAGGACGGATGGACAAGAGTAATACAATGCCACTTTCGCTATGGCGGGAGCATAAAAATAAAAACAAAATTTGGAAGAATTCACTAAATTTATGCAGGATTGATGCTACTTTGGGATGTTGAACAAACCAGAGAATTTTCCCCCTGTAATAGTTGCATGTTTTATATTCAACTTTCTGGAGTGAGACGTTACAGCCAGGCTGGGGAATTGGGTAGCCAAATCATCATGTGAATCTTATAGTGTTATATGTCTACTTTTGATAAAAATGGAAATATCTTTATTGATATCCAAATGCAATGGTCTATCTCCCTATACAACAATAATACAAGATTTCTACAACCTACAAGTTTTTGTCAGAACTACATTCTTCTATCTCCACATTCCCATTGGCTTATTCATCTAATTATTCAGAGAAAAATATTTTTAAAGTGTTGTATCTCCGCTATTTTTCGGGTAATTTTGCTGTTAAATAATTATCAATATTATCTTAGTACTATGCCTAAATTGTTTGCATGGCTAAAACTCAATCTATGAGCAAGTCTTAGCAAGTCCAGCAGTAAAGAATTAGGGATATTACAGAGTTAAAAAATCCATAGTCTATCTCCTATAGAAATAAAGGGATGAATTTCTAAAACAACATTGTTTGAAGTGAAATGTTCTATCTCCAGTTAAGAGGATGCTTTATTTATCTAAGTTGCTTGTCTATTGAAAAAACAATCAAACAAAGAGTTACTCTGCATGTATGTAAATTTTATTCCTATATAACTTTTTATGTCTCAGTCAAATATAAAAGATTTGATTTTGATTGATTTTGGGTGTTTTAACGCCACTTTTAAGCACCGCTTTTGGGCTATTTCGTGGCGGCCAGTTTTTAATGGTAGAGGAAGCCGGAGTGACCGGAGAAAACCACGACCTTCGATAGGAAAACTGACAATCCTAGTCAATTTAAATTGGAGTTGAGTGCACCCGCACGAGCGGGGTTCGAACTCACAACCTCAGTGTTTATTGGCTAGTGATTACAGTAGTAACTACTTAGACCACTCGGCCACCGAGGCCCCCAAATATAAAAGATATTGTGCTTCTAAACTTTAACTTTAACACATCAATGTCCTCCTTTACAACATAACCATGGTTGTGCTCCGAAGAAAGGAGGCTGATACAGAGCATACATACATCAAGGGACATAACTCACCTAAAGGATCAGCAGTTTGTTTGCTGGCAGGTTTCTCTGACAAACTTTTCTGAGGGTCCACAAATATTCTGTAGTAGCCTTCCACCATTGTGACAAAGTTCTGAGTGTCTTGCTTCAACAGTCCTATATTTAGTGTCTGGCAAAGATATTTCATAAAAAATTTATGTTAAAAGGTTTTGTTTAAATTTATTGATTTTTGGTGTTTTAACTACATTTTTTTTAAAATAAGGCAATGAGTATGATCCATTAATTATTTGAAGAACTAGAAATATGAAGTCATAGAGAGTTTCTTTTTCTTTTTTGTTATTAGATTTATCAAATGCAATTCCTACAGAAAGCAGAGATATAAAAAATGAACCACAGCAGGAAAAATCCATTTTTAAGATACATTTACATTAGATCAAAACATATGGTCAAAAGATTATGTCATTTTAAAAAGTAAACTTTTGAAGTTTATTATATATACTGTAAATTCAGAATTTTTAGCACTGTTTTTACTGCTGTGAAAATTGCAAGAGATTGGTATCGCAAAGATAAAAACTCACACTTTAAACTTTGATGGCATTATTTGTATGCAGCATTTCCTGCAATCACATTAATCTTATAATTTTGTCCTTTCTTCAAAAATCCCAAAAATAAATGGACGCAAAAAATTTTGAATTTACAGTTAGCTGAATTCTTTTAAAACTAATAACCTAATCCCTGTGTTGTGAGCACAAGGACAGACCAACTTTATTACAGCCTGCATCTCTTTAGAAGACATGGTATGGCAAGATAGAAATATATATTGCCAAAATACCCCCCTTTTTCAATTTTTTTTTAGTATTTTCCAAACTAATAATAATAATAGTACACTTTTAGAGATTTGACTGTTTTTAAATAACATATTTTGAAATGATCTCAATATGAGTCTTACCTGTTGTTCATCTCCACTCAGTGAAATTTCCACTTTTTGCATATTTTCTTTCTCTTTAGCTACTTTCATTTTCTTTAACTTCTCAAAATCAGCCAACAAAGACAGCTAAAATACAAGTAAAATATTTACTCTACATCTCAATTGATGACATTATTTAACAATCAAAGCTTGGAAATGCTGAAAGGCAGTTTCTGTCTACTCGATGTTTCTGTGACTTCTCAAAATCAGCCAATCAAGTAAATTAAATACATGTACAAGTAAAATATTTAATCTGTCATTCAAAGGATGACATATTTTTATGAAAACTGAACAATAGTTACTGTATGCCATTTTTAATTGAGTTGATTTTGCAGTTAATCCTCAATTAATCATATGACACAATCACCATTGTCCTGTAGCTCTTCATTTTGATTTTAATTAAGATAAGTTTAATTAAATATCTATTTTAAATTTACTTTAACAGTTAACTATTTCATTAAAAATTGCATAATTTTTAAACAGTTTGAAGAATAACAAAAAAGTTGCTTTTGAAATAGATGAAATTAACTGTTTATTTTTGGTAGACATCAATTATTAGGCAAACTTGGTCAAATACCAACGATTAAATTACAAATTCAAAAAAAAGAGTGATACAGAATAGTTTTTCAGCTTACTGTAAAGCTACTAGTTGATAACTAAAATTATGAACTAACCATAGTCCAAAAAGTTTTTACAAAGGCTTTCTCTTTCTATAATATTAAAAGATGCAGTTCTTAGAAATTATATGTAATAGTCACTCATTGTCAATGGAGACTAGGAGAAAGTGCAACTTGCCAAGAAATGAGATATTATGTCATCTCTGACTGGATTGACATTGATGACGAATACAACGTTTAACTATATAATGTATTATGTCATGTAACCACTTCAATAATGTATAAAAAAAAATCTGCTTCCCCAATTTTGTCTAAAAAATTAAAACCCTTAAAAATTTGAATTTTTTTTTTCTTCTCCTGTTAAAAAATTTAGAGTTTATTATGTACTTAGTTTACATATGCTTTATTGTAACATATGCTTATATCATTTAACGTCACGGTACCCAAATTGCACCTATTTAATGAAAATAGCAGAGGAAATCTTACAAGTTTTCCTAGAGACTAAACAATTTGTATTTTTATGATTTGACACTATGCACGTCTTTCAACATAGGTAAATATATTTAAATATACACAAAAAGTCCACAGTATATATAAACAGATGAAGTGTTCACTGGAAAAAGTAAAATGTACGGAAACGTCGCCATGCGACGTCCACAAAAAGTCATCTTTTAAAAATTAGCAAATAAAATATGTTACAAGCATTCATTTCTTAAAAAATGAATAGTACGCATGGACTAACGTCATACTGTTCTAAATATTTAAAGAAATAAAACAAAATATCTATTATTCGACTTTTAAGGATGTGAATTTAAGCATGGATGTAATTTGGGTACTCTTCATTACAGAATCATGGATCGTTTGGAGGTCGCTTCAAACCCATTTTTCTATGATTCAAGAGTGGATTCAAAATTAAATTGATGGAACTATATAGTAAATAAGGATACATCTACAAAATAAACACAGAATGGAAACTTTTGTCCAGATCATAAATAAACGTAGGTGAAAAAACTGTCAAAATAGGTGCAATTTGGGTACTCTCACGTTATATGTAAACATATGTTCTCTGTAATATACTTTTTATGAGAATAAATTATTCATTGATTTATTTGCAGAATAATTTCTGTAGCATTTGATTAAGTAATGTTTTAATTAATAAAAAGGTAATTACTTAAATACTCTTCAGTAATTCACAACGGTCAATGTATATAAACGCTATGATGAATTTATTGTACACTTACACTGTAATTTTTTATGTTGGTAATCAGACTTATCCCAGCTTTTGGTCCTACAAGTACCATAGCTTCTGTCTTCTTATCCTGAAATACACCAACATCAAAACAAATAATTATTACATATCCTTATAAAGGATGAAAAAAGATATTGCTCATCTGAAGGTCAACATATTGTCCTCAATAATAGAAAATTTAAGCGTATAGAGTATCATTTAGAGTTAAAATATTTCTAGCATAGTTTTTCAAATAATTTCATGTAAATTCATGTTTTTGTAGATGTTTGTTACGTTCTGAAGCCAACACTTATTATTCAAAACAAGTAATTTGTTTTCTGTTTAGCTCAAATAACCCAAAATAGTCTAAGATGACTGTAACTTATGTCTCCAAAAATACTTCACTTCAAGAAAGTTTACTTAGTTTTTCTTTTTAGGAAATTCAGTACTTTTCAAACACCATTACTAGTCAATTGTCGAATTAAACATTGAAGTTTCCGTTCAATCAAATATAGCCAGAAAAATATCAGTAGCAAATATTTAGAACGCCGGTCTCTCATATTCATTTTGACGATAAAACTTTGAGACACCTACCAGCAGAGTTACCATAAACACACGACTACCGAATGTTTTCTGTTCACTGACAATTTTCATGTAATGTAGTTTGGCTTGCAGTGCTGTTAAATGTTTCTGTCCTGGTGCTGTAAGATTTTGGTTCATCTTCATCTGCTGAGTCAGCAATTTTCTTAAATCTTTCCCCTTCATAGTTGATCTCTCGTAAACAGGTACAAATTTTTCTAATCCACATTCTTTCCTGAAATATAATAAAAATTTGTTATGGAAAATATACAACTGAACATTATCAACATATATTAGAAGTATATGAATGATATTTTTGAACCCCTCCCTCCAAGTCACAAAATTTACTAAAATCCTCTTAAATAATTCAACTACAGATTCTTATAATCTAGTAAGATTACCCTTCTGGAGCACCTGAGATCACCCCCAGTTTTTGGTGGGGTTAATGTTGCTTGGTCTTTAATTTTCTATGTTGTTTTGTGTACTGTTGTTTGTCTGTTGGTCTTTTTCTTTTTTTACCCGTGGCATTATCAGATTATTTATGACTTATGAGTTTGAATGTTCCTTTGGTATCCTTTGCCTCTCTTTGATTTAAAATTCAAATTTTTGAGAGTTGTAATTGTGATAGCTATATTTAAATAAATACTTGCTGACATAGTACAATTCATGACTTCACAGTACCAAAAGTATGTTTTCTTTTGTAAAAAGGACAGCTGTCATTTGTAGGTATTTGAATACAAAACAACATGTTTTCCTGAAGTTTCATTTTGTTATTCAATAGTCTCAGCTAATTTAAAACACAGAAATGTGGAAAAAAGCATCTGTGTTTGCGTGAAAAGTGCAAAGACGATAATCAACAATAGCATAAAAACTGCACACATTAATTTATTCCCAAATGAATATTTAATTGTTTTAAAAGTACAACGCAACTCCGCTCAAATAAATCACTACATTTATTGCACTTTTATTCATACCAATTCATTTACTCTAACCCTGTTTTAATTACTAACACTTTCCCTCGTCCACATTTCCCTAATTCAATTTACGGCAAAGAGATGCAATGGTCTCATTTCAAGCATTTTTTTATTCCAACAATGCACTTTGTGTGACATAACATCAGTAATAAACATATATGGTTCTCATAACACTTTTTTAATTTGCTTGGATTGGAAGCTAGTAAATATTTTGTTTTGAGCGTTTCTGATGAAGGAAAATCCAGAACAGCCCTTCAAACATACAAAATTTTTAAGTGTTTCTTTTTTCATTCACAAGCACTGGATGACTACCAATGCTGATGGACTGTTGTCCCCAAGGATATCATCACCTCAGTAGTCAGCGCTTTGGAACATTTAACAATAATTCTCTGTTCCAAGGTTCCAACTCCCTAAGGCAAGGTTGACCTCACATGAAATTGGCTATTCTGTTCAGGTCCTTTAGGGCCTTATGTTACTATGTATTTACACTCTCCTGGCTTTCAAATATTTGGGTGTGAGCGTTCCAGAAAGACAGAATGGCGCTTCGGATGCACAAAACTTATAAAGTGTTTATTTCATTTCATTATATGCAATGGCAAAAAATGTTTCAATCTAAACAAGTTTTTATGATATAAAAGCCTGTCACTTACTCAATCGCTTTTAGATTGATTTTTCCAGATGCATTGCTTGACATGGCATGTTGTTGGATCTGTAAAGCTGCCAGTTTTAAAATGGTATCGCCCTTCAGATCAGGGAATCTGTCGTTAACAACATCATTGCAACACTGAAAAAATAGGAAAATCATGATTAAATCCAAAATATTTGTCTTTTATATATTTTTTTTTTGGTTAATTCACATCTAAACTTTGAAAGTTATAAGGGTCTAGATGGGGTTTTCAGAATAGAGAATAACGGGAGAATAAAATGCAAAACATTTAAAGAAATTACAAATATAGGCGAATAAATAAAGAAACAAGAATAATGGAATAGAGACTATGAGTCAAAATAAACAAGTGAAACTGCGAGCTACTGCTCCCTGATGATACCCCCGCTGCAACTGGATAATTTCAGTAGTGTAAAAATATGTAAGTGTTCGGTAAACAGGAAGTTGTTGAGTGATGAATCTGAAAACGCATCACACAGTATAGCTGACTTATAAACCCTGAAACCAAATTTCAGAAATCCTTATGATGTAGTTCCTGAGAAAGATGCGACGAAAAATATTCATGGGACAGATGGACGGACAGACAGACAGAGGTAAAACAGTATACCCCAACTTTTTTAAAGCGGTGGTATAATAAAGAATAGAGAAAAATTGTCTTAAATATTAAAGAACACCCCCAACCCCCCTTCAGTTATACCCATTTTTTAGTCATATATTTTCATGTCTATCTGTGACAGATATAAAATACAACCTGGTGAAATTCCACTTTATAATATGCAATATTAGTAAAATTTAGATTGCTTTTGGTTGGTTTTAAGAAACAGCATGAAATAAGTCCTTGAAATGTTGTTGATAAAAAAATAATTCTTTTTGAAAAATTTCATTTAACTAAATTATCAATACACAATTCCATTGTTTTAAAATATTTTCCAATTATAAAACCAATAATATTCTTCAAGTTTGAAATAGCACGAATTTTATTTTCCCCCTGTTTAATTTCATTTTTAGATTGAATGTGTCAAGTTCTCATAGTTTTAGATAACTAAAAAAAACAGCCTTCAAAAATTAGTTTTGAAATCAAATTACCAGAATAAATTTTTGCACTGTGAACAAATGCATATTAAAAGTCAAATGGCCTTAGAACAAATCCATTTTCTTCTCAATCAATTTACTTATTGTTGAAATTTGCATAACACATCGTTTTCTGAAATTGTCAGCTTTGACATGCCAAAGTTGTAAATGACTGTCTGAATTGTATTTGTTTTGATCTAAAACTGCTTTAAATGGAAATTTTTTGTGAAAATTCCAGTGAAATTTTGCATTTAAATCTGATTTAATTGCTTTACATTTCTGTCTACACAGTTTTATTTCTAAATGATTTTCATCAGTTTGCAGTTCTTGTTAATATAATGATTTTATCTATTATCATGATAAAAGTTCATCTTTCAGGAATTTTTTTGTTAACACTACTTGCAAAAATATTCTTTAAAAGATCTTATCATCCTAAAAATTGACAAAATTTTCCACTTCTACATATATTTTTTATCTCATTAACATCCTTTTTTCAAATGATTCATGACAACTCCCAACATCTAAACAGTCTTATAGTGCAGTTCTCTGTCTGTATATTTTTGTTGCTTTGCACGAGGTCAGGGAGTTGGCCAAAATAAAAGATTGTTTTAATGCAGAACTTGAGTTGTATATGCAGTCTGTGCCAAACTGTTTTAGGGTTTGTCTGACCGAAAAAGAAATTTGATGTTTTTCTTCTATATTTTCAACAAAAAGTCTGAAAATTTTTGTCTGACCAAATGACTTTTTGTCTGACATTTTGTCGGTCAGACAGAGTTTGGGATACACTGATATGTCCAAATATGAAATTTTATAATTCCTTACTCATATGTCCTTACTATTGCCTAAATCAGTTACAACCTTCTTGTCAGACCTGAAAAGCAAGACAAGTAACTTACCTGAAGATAGAAGTACTCAAAAGCTACAGGGTCTTCCTTCAGCAGGTCATAGGGGTCACAAGGGACAAACATTACACGGAATAGGCAACGAAAATGGCGAGCACCAGGTTTAGATGCAATCTAAAATATAAAGTTTTGCAACATTTCATTATTCAAACAATTATTTTTGTTGTTTTTTTTTTTCTTATTTTGTTTTGTAAATTGACTCAATAGTATTCATGAGGTCATTTCCCTGTCATTTCAGACATCGCTGTCTTGTATTTTTATGTTTGCAGACAACACTCATTTATTTTTACTGTCACAAACTGAGTTTTCAAACAACACAATAGAGTAATTGGGGAGGGTGTACAAGGATGGTAGTGAAATCTTTAGATTGCAGACATCAATCGTTTATTAACTATTCAAAATTGAGTTTTCTGACAACACATTAGAGTAATTAGGGAGGGTTTACAAGTATGGTAGTGACATCTTTAGATTTGCAGACATCAATCATTTATTTTACTATCACAAAGTGAGTTTCTGACAACACATTAGAATAATTGGGGAGGGTTAACATTGTATGGTAGTGAAATCTATAAATAACTTACCTCAGCTAATGTTTCATGTTCTTGAAGCAGTGTAACACGATTTGGCATATGACTTTTAATGTTTAATAGCACCAAGTTAAAATGTTGGATTTTCTTTATACTCAGCTTTTCTTGCAACGAATATACCACATCCTGGAATAGAACAGGGGAGATAATTAGGTAAAAGTTGAATAATACATAACAATAAGTTTGTTTGAAATTAGCAATCACCATTGCAAAGAAATCATATTTTTTTTTGTCCATACTGTATAAAAATAAGAAGATGTAGTATGATTGCCAATGAGACAACTTATCACCAGAGACCAAATGATGTAAAAATTAGCGACTTGATATCCTTTCAAATTTTTTTGCATATTAAGGAACATCCTATTATATTACGAGTTCATACTTTTCTATGTTGAGAAAAACCTAATAGATTTCAAGTTTAACAATGCTTAAACATAATTGCATAGAAATTTAATTGTTTTCAAAAAACTAAAACTGTCTACAGTGATCATTCACCTGTCTAAGATGAACACAACCTTTTGTATTATAAAGATAGAATTCAAAAGATTAAACTGTATTTTAAAATTTGCATTCATAAATTAGGAATCCTTACTTTAACTTGTGTTGCTCATTTTAATGCTATATTTTACAACTATAAAGTATAGACCTATCAAAGATTCCTTAATACGTACACATTTTCTAATATTGCTGACAAAACAAATATCTTTTCTAACAAAATAATACCAAATATTCATTGATCAGAGAAGAACCTCAGCTGATCGAGTAACATAACTTTTAACCTTTAACCTTATAAAGGTTTATACGAGAGGAAACAATCCATCTAATAACGGAAAGATTAATATGTGTAAGCATAAAACTATTGAATATCTTCAATCTAAACTGACAGTCCATACTCTTTCCTGACCATGTTTTTCTTCCGAAAAACTCATCAAGATATAAAAGTATGAGAATAAATTTAATCTACATGATGATAACAAAATTAGAAGAGTACAAAATGTCATTCAACATCAATCAATCCCTCTTTTGTATATATGATTTCCGATCGTCAATTTCCTTCAAAGATTGATATTATTATAAGACGTTCATTCCATCAGGACTATGAAAGTTGATTGTGTAATCAAGCATATATAAATTATGACAATTTCTTGCCTGTATGGCCTTCGGAAATATCTATAAAATTATTAAGTACAATCATCAAAATATGGATAGAAAGAAATGTCGGATTCATTAATATAATTCATCAATCAAGCAGAATAAAAGAATGGAAGCCGAGTTCTTTAATACAAAGAGGGGTTATCATTAAAAACCATACTTTCTTCTATGGAAAAGAAGCTGAATTATTGATTCTAATGTCTACCATGGACTAGAATACAAAAAGTGATGATCACAAACTTATACCTTAGCTATCATCCCTTCCTCATATTTATGGCAAAGCCCATGTTTGCTTTGCAGACCCAAAAATCATTTAAATAAATCGAAATTATAGTAGCATCATGTGTGCTTAAGCAGAGTTGCAATCTCAACAGAGATTTTTTTTCTTTTTTTTTTTTAGTGAAAATGACTGTAAAAACACCTGAGAATATGTGTTATATAATGAAAAAAAATAAAGTGCTGACCTTAACCCTTGAACATGTAACATAAAAATCCAGGGTCTATTCCACCCAAAGTCAAATTGTCCACCAGCAATTTGTCTGATTTAATTTATAGCTCAAAAAGTAGTGTCTAGTAACAAAACATTTCCAAAAATTACGCTTTTTTTAAAAGGCCCCAGAAATCTAGTAAGGTCTTGTTCTTTGCAATCAAATTTGGGTAAAAGTTAATCTCCAATAAATTCACACAATAACCTGTGACCTTGAAAACAAGACAGTTTTTGATTCCCATGTCATATCTCTTTTTTTAATACATCTCGATAAAATTCAAGTGTAACCGAAATCACAAGAAAAAGTAACATGAATGGTCTCTACTGTGAAAAGAAAATCTGATTTCTCAACTGGTGTAATATACATGGTCAAATCAATAAAAGAGGAAAGCCGTCTGGAACATTCAATTTTCGTAGGGAAGCATGAACAAGCGAACAAATGTCCTAACAATAAAAACAAGCAAAAAGCACTGACAAACAGAATTCTAACTATGTTAAGTCTGAGAACGGTTATAAGTTGAGTAGATCTTCTATACGACTTGGATTTGCGGAAACAGACGGACAAGAAATTCTAATAAATAGCTTTACAAACAGCATCTGTTTATGTCAACACTGATTCCAACAGCCAGACATTGGACAGTGATAATATGTCAGAAGGTAATTCAATATTATAGTTCTCGATGACACTCGTCACTTACAAGGGATAATCTGATTTGTTCAACATTAAACAATTTTCAATTCTGACTATCATAGCCTTCAGAACATCATCTATTTACATGATATTCAATCACTGATGTGAGACGTAAATTCAATTTTCTGTCGACAGTAAATAAAAGACTAACAGAATTACTGGATAAAATACTTAACAAGGACTGTCAGTAACAGAATCTGTCTGTTTTATGACGTTTATTGCTCCACACTTTTGGCTAAATTGCAGAAGAGGCATACAAAACGGCCCAATTTCCTTGGATGAAAGCTGAACAAATATCTTAACATTATCACAACAAACAATAAAGCACTGACAAACAGAATTCTAGCTATGTTAAGTCTGAGAACGGTAATAAGTTGAGTAGATCTTCTATACGACTTGTGTTTGCGGAAACAGACGGACAAAAAATTCTAATAAATAGCTTTACAAACAGCATCTGTTTATGTCAACACTGATTCCAACAGCCAGACATTGGACAGTGATAATATGTCAGAAGGTAATTTAATATTACGGTTCTCGATGACATCAGTCACTTACAAGGGATAATCTGATTTGTTCAACATTAAACAATTTTCAATTCTGACTATCATAGCCTTCAGAACATCATCTATTTACATGATATTCAATCACTGATGTGAGACGTAAAGTCAATTTTCTGTCGACAGTAAATAAAAGACTAACAGAATTACTGGATAAAATACTTAACAAGGACTGTCAGTAACAGAATCTGTCTGTTTTATGACGTTTATTGCTCCACACTTTTGGCTAAATTGCAGAAGAGGCATAAAAAACGGCCCAATTTCCTTGGATGAAAGCTGAACAAATATCTTAACATTATCACAACAAACAATAAAGCACTGACAAACAGAATTCTAGCTATGTTAAGTCTGAGAACGGTAATAAGTTGAGTAGATCTTCTATACGACTTGTGTTTGCGGAAACAGACGGACAAGAAATTCTAATAAATAGCTTTACAAACAGCATCCGTTTATGTCAACACAGATTCCAACAGCCAGACATTGGACAGTGATAATATGTCAATAGGTAATTCAATATTACGGTTCTCTATGACATCAGTCACTACAAGGGATAATCTGATTTCGTCAACATTAAACAATTTTCAAATCTGACTATCATAGCCTTCAGAACATCTATTTACATGATATTCAATCATTGATGTGTGACGTAAATTCAATTTTCTGTCGACAGTAAATAAAAGACTAACCGAATTACTGGATATAATACTTAATTAGGACTTTCAGTAACAGAATCTGTCTGTTATGACGTTTATTGCTCCACACTTTCAGCTAAATTGCGGAAGAGACATAAAAAATTTCCAATGGATACACAATCTCAGTTAATTGTTACAAGATGGCGACACTTAATGGTCCAATTTCCTAGGATGATGGCCAGACAATAATTTACTCTAGTAAAGACTAGGGTTAACAGCAGAGATTTGTGTGATAAAAGTGCATGCCAAGTTAAGATAAATTTTTCGCATAGGGGGAGCAAGAAGATATTAGTTTACTGTCTGTCTCAATGTTTTTCGAAAAAACATTGAGACAAACAGTACTCTATTTTTCATTTCCAAAAATTTTTTACTTTTAATATTATTTATTTAATTGCATTAAATTAAAGGTATCTGCTTCTTTCTTTTTTAATTAGAGGCTAAAAGATTATGAATAAAGAAGAATGTGTCTGAGGATATGATTCCCCCCTCAATTTTGGCAATTTTCCATGTTAAAAAGGGCATAACTCTAGAACGGTAAATGACTCACAATCCAAATTCGATCTCTGTCTGCGTGTTGTGGTTCTTAGCATTGTGCATGAGTTTCATAAAATTTGTAAAAAGACAAACTTAAGTTAAGAATGTGGAAACGAAACTTAGGATGGACGGAAAGACAGACAGTCAAGGGAAACACTTAATGTCCATGTTGACTATGGCTGGGACATAATAAACTATGCAAAAAAAGTTTCAAAGTCAATGAACAGTGACAGAGAGCCAATTTATTTCTGTGGATATGAGAAATATTCCAATGCTGTAACAACTGCATACCAAAATATCATTGACTTATCATTAGCGGTTCACCTTAACTTAGAACCTAATCATTATTGCTGGAAACAGCAGGCCTCAGTCTCACCTCTGCTATTTTGTTGAGGTAAGACAAAAATGTTTAAATTCAAAATCAAATTATCTTAGATTACACAATTAACCTGGAGGCAAAAAAAAAAGATGAATGATGAATGCAGGCATTGCATAAACTATTTATAACTACTTTCTTTATAAAGATTTAGGTCTGTGGGCCATCTTGTATTTGAATAAAACTTTCAAACATTATGACTTCTCTCCCATTGTTGACTTAATTGAAAAATGGTATCAGCCATCCTATTGATTTTACAGAGAGTTTGTTCATTTTCACACTAATTTGTGAGTTAACAGCATTTTACGTAATTAACTATCTTTTAATACTGACATCCAATTTTTGAATTAAAGGATTGAAATCCTATAAAAACAGATTGCCTTTTTAAAATTAAATGGTTATATTTCCCCTTGCAGGCACACATGAAACCATAGCTTACCGGTATATATTAAATTCAAGCTTCAACAGTCAGGAGACTTACTTAAATGAGTGATTTTCTAAATCACTGATTCAAGTAACATTATGTACATAAAGGTTGGAAGTAAGAGTTGTCTTTCTTTAATAATCACCTATTTAAGTAGTACAAATTAATCACTAGACTAAGTGATTTAATTTTATTGTAGCTTTAAATATAGAATACTAATGATCCAGGAACTAATTATGTTGCTAAAATTATCAGAACCAACATCTGTGTTGATAGGATGACCGGGTCATGTCAGGTGATGACCTTGTACTAAATCTAGGATAATGACATAAAAATCACTTGTTCAAGTATCATACCTCAATTTCCTTCCAAAAAATCACTTCTTTTTAAGTATCATTATTTAAATGACCCCCACTAATTTCAACACCCCCAAACAGTGAAATTTTGATCGCGAACAGAGAATTTTATTACATAATCTATAAGATGAAACCTTGAATTTTACAGGAAAAATACTCCCACTGCTGGGAAAAATCTGTTGAGAAAGTATCAGTTCATTATGTAAAGCCATTTTTATAGCATTTTTTCAAGTAAAATAGAATTTGCAGCTAAATGATTGCATCAAAGGCATAAACCTTGATGCTTAAAAGAGGCAAAAAGTTCATTTTTTTCAATTTTACTAATGAAAAGATATTATCTAAAGTTATGTGTTTAAAATTTTGGTAAAACTACAAAATCACAATTTGTGACAAAACTTCGAATTTGCTACCTGAATAAGTGATTTTTAAATCACTTATTTCAATAAGTCCCCTGACTGTTCAAGTAAATGTCTGCAATCTGAGAAAATTATTCAATTTTTGATTGATTGATTGGTGTTTAATGCCACTTTCAGCACTATTGGCTATTTTGTGGAGGTCAGTTTTTATTGGTGTAAGAAGCTGGCCTTGAGAGAATCACTGACCTTTGGCTGAAAAACCGACAATCCTTAAGTCAATTAAGATTGGAATCAAACACACCTGCCAACAGCAGGGTTTGAACTTACAACCTCAGTGTTGACAGGCTACTGATACTGTAGTTGGACAAGTTTGACCACCAAGACCCCAGACAAAACTAGTTTAACCTCCAACATTATAAGGTCCTTGTCCCAATTTAAGAACTTGATGATGGATGGCTCCTTAACGTTCATGTTAATGTAATATGAATATTAACCCCGCTTTGTACTAAACTGACACACTGAGCTGGATATTTAAAGTGCTAGTTCACAAGGTAATAGTCCGCAGGAATACATGTCACCTTCAACCCAGACACATTATTCTGACTCTTAGCAGACCAGTCTTTGCTCTTAACTCCTTAATGCCGCGTGCTTAGTGGAAAGCAGGAGATACCAACTTTGAATAATTTGAATAAAATACTGTTTAAACTAAAACCAATTTTGAAGTCTTTGGTTCGACTTGGAAGGGGTTCAAACCCTGCCCTCCTGCCCTCCTGCACTCGAGGCAAATGCGCTGCCACCAGACCACCGAGGCGGTTTCTTTTAAAGAATTTGGCGTTATTTGAAGATGAAAATCTTACAACTATAATAAATCGTACATCATGTTCAGCAATATTAACATCTTTGATAATGCGAATATCTATTTACAATATATTTACTGTGTAAGGTTTAAAAAAAACACCTCAATTATCTAAATGATAGACGAAAGGGGAAATAACCCACTGTGGAAGGGAGGGAAATGATGTTGTAGCTATCTTACCTTTACTGTGGTTTTGTTGTCATATTTGAATGATTTTGTCTGTCCATTCTCCAGGAACACCTTCAATACATTTGGCATGAAAGGCACATAACTCTCTAAATGGGACGGCTGAAATAAACAATTAAAAACATACATGTATTTCTGGTATTGTACTATATGTTCTTATGACTAAAGAGTTGACTGGGAAAACATTGTGCAGAGTTCAAACTCACAACCTCAGTGTTGACAGGCTAGTGGTACAGTAAATGAACTACTTAGATGACTCATCCTCACACACATGAAAAAGAGACCCAAATGCAGAGATAAAATAAATGGGGAATGTGTCCATGGGACACAGATGACGCACCCGCTTGCATAATAACGTTATAAAGGTACATAACTCACGAATGGAAAAAGTGACACTACCCAAATTTCTACTTGATCTGAATTTTCTGGAAATAAGCATTGTGTATAAGTTTCATGACATTTGGTAGAGGCAAACTCCAGTAAGGGAACGGAAACGAAAAATTCAGTAATTTTTTTCATTTGTAAAGGGGCATTACTCCAGAACGGTAAAAGTGACACCACTAAAATTCAAACTTGATCCGTGTTTTGTGGCAATAAGCATTGTGTATAAGTTTCATAACATTGAGTTGAGGCAAACTTAAGTTAGAAAACAGAAACCAATTTTGGGACAGACGTACGTACGGAAGGACGGACGGACAAGGGTAAAACTAAATGCCCCCTCCGCTACGGCGGGGCATAAAAAGACATGGTTACACTTGGAATCAGGGAGAATGGCAAAAGATAGATCTAGTTGGAGGTTCCTTACTGGTGCCTTATATGTTCATGAACATAAAGAGGACCAAGTAAATGTTCATAGGACATAAACATCTTATCCTCCTGATTATTCATGAAATATTTGACACAGGACATTGACAGTACCAAATTCAATCCAAGATATTACAAGTTTGCATGATACTCTAATTAAGTCTTTTGTTATTTACCAAGAAAACTAAGGATCTCATCAGAAACTAATGTCAGTGTTATCTGCATAAACAAAAATATCTTTTTGTTTATCCTAGGCATGGGACATTTTATTTTCTGTAATTTGAAAAAGGTTTAACGGATATTTTTCCATGTACTTTAATTAGCACTCTCATTTCACATCAGAATTAGTTGCTATCTGCAGGTTTTATGAGCTTTGAAATAAGTATCTGATGAATCAACATCAAGAATTGTCTGCAATCTGTTTTACCAACACAATAAATATCACATGAGTACAAATATTTTCATTAGAAGACATTACAATAAAAGGATACATTCATTTAATGATTATTTGGCACAGAATAAATACTCTTTAGGGCAATGAAATTCTATCTATAGATATAGTTTGTCTGCACTGGATATACAAATCACCATAGAAGTTCTTTACTGTTTTGGTATCATTGTTTGTGCTATGCAAAAACATCATTTAATATGTTGTGGGATTTTAAATTTGTGATTTCAGATAATGATTATTTGGCTTCTTGATACTCTTTAAGGGCAATGAAATTCTATTTATAGATATAGAATGTCTGCACTGAATATACAAATTACTGCATGCGGACTTTTCTTTGTGGGTATCAATTTTCTTGATTTGTCAGGTTTAAAATTCATAGTTGAAAGATTATATCACATTTGGACACAAGGGAAAATATGTTTTTCCCCGAATGCTAAAAATTTTTGGGTGGAGACAACCACAAAATCCCACAGAAATTGGTACCTCCCAAACAATAATGTATATACAAGTAATTGTTGATACCCTTGCAATCTTAATTATGAGATGTACCAAAATCTATTACAAAGAGATGCTGACTAGTTTTTCTGAGTGATATTATTATACAAATAAATTCTCCTGGTAACCTTTCTCTATGTTGAGCAAAGGGTTATATGAAAATTACTGTTTACGTCACAGTTAATTTTGGTGTCCTCTTCTTGGTCAGTGTTTAATTAACTAATTTCAATTTAAAATATAATCAAACAACAAATTGGAATTAAGAAACTGAACTTTTGAGACTAAATATTTGATTGCAGGATAAAAACATTATTCGTACATTGAAGGAAAATAAAAAAATTATTTGTAATTTGTAATCGCTACAAAACAGGAGAAAAGTTTGACAAGCTTCACTTTTCTTCCTGTTTCTAAAGCTGGTACAAATAAAGGTAATATATCAATTGTCGTAAAATGTACAAATATGTTTTATATGTATATCATGAGTAATTTGAGTTGATTATATAGTCATATTATATAGAATGAAGTTCAATATTATACAGAGAATAAAATGACATTTTCTGGAGCCATGTCGCTATGATCCCGGTACAGATATTATACAAAACTGGCAATGACATTTTGTGCATATTGGAAATAATTTTCTGTTGACATTTTACTTCAATATCCATAGCCTGCAATAAAGGATTGATGAAGGACAAAATAGTCATGACAAATGACTTTACAATTCTCAGAACTCTATCCAGCAACCATCATAACAAGGTCATACTAAGGACTTCTGGGTAATTTCAATAGAAAGACATGGGGTATAAATGTCAGTGATACATCTATCTACCGAGGACCAAATTCTGGAATCTGGGGGATAGCTGTTGTATTGGCAATCATACTGTCATGAAATAGAAGTTCCTTCATAATATAAGTTTCAAGTAAAAAACTATACTGTAATATTATTTCCACTGGAACAAACATTACAGTATTTTTTCCTTACGGAATAAAGGTTATATAATATCTGTTACAACAGGAACAGATATGGCATAGTTTATAACAAAGTTTCCAGTGGAACTTCTGTTAGGCTGAACAAATATACTTTGATAATACCACATCTCTTTATTTTCGTATAGTTCTTTGTTTTTTATCTCTACACTTTACCATACATCAATGTAAGATTCCCTAACCTTAGTTACCAAAGTTGGTTAGAAATGCTAAATGGCTATCTTGTTTATGAATTTCTTGTTAACTTTTTAAGATATTTCTTGTTATAAATTGGAAGCTATTCCTAGAACACTAACTGCATAAAACCTTTGTCTGTTAAATCTACCAGGAGTTGTAAAACATCTAGTGCAAAACGATTGAGAATATTTTAAAAATTACTAAAAAGATTAGACTTTCTATTTTTAAAAGTCATCTCAATTACTACTGTAAATTTAGAAATTATTGCGTGCATTTATTATTGCGATTTTGTCATTTTAGACTAAAATGCGATTTTAATTTTTGCGATATTGAGAAAAATCCTGTTTAATTCATATAAAAAAAATTCAAAATGCGAGTTTAAATTATTGCGATTATAACCCCGTCGCATTTTTCGCAATAATAAAAACATCGCAATAATTTCTGAATTCACAGTAATATCATTTTAATGGATTCCACAGAGGGTTGAAATATAATGTTTGCCTGATGTTATGGTCTTTTACTCTATTAAAATTCATCTTTCTAATTCAGGGATATTATATAGATTAAGAGCAATTTTTTCTTGATTATCCAAGCATAAGTTCTGCCAAATATGGCACCAAATTTGCATAAAATCCATAGATTTCTTTACTAGTGTATACATTTAACAGTCAGATGGAACATTTCCAATATAGCGACACAAAGTTTGCTGACTTAGCACACATTTTATTCCCCATTAGTATACAGGAAATTATACATTTTTATCATGAATTCCTTTTTCAAAGAAATAACTTTTCCTAGGGATTTTGTCAAAATATGAGGTAACTAGATATCATTGAGATGGGAGCCATCTCTGTGGGCCCCACTGTGAATAATGTGTGGTAAATAATTTGTATCTTTATCATCATGATCATTGGACATGGGGTTGTCTACTGAAACCAAAGTTTTTGACCTTGACCTTTGACCTAGGAAGTTATATATAAATTATGACACACCCTCTGTTGTTGGTTTATTTACATGTCAAATATAAACTTTGAAATCATAACGGTTCTCAAGATATAGAGCGGACACGATCTTTACCATAGGACATAGGGTTGTCAACTAAAACCAAAGTTTTTGACCTTGACCTTTGACCTAGGAAGTTGTACATAAATTATGACACACCCTCTGGTGTTGGTTTATATACATGTCAAGTATAAACTTTGAAATCATAACGGTTCTCAAGATATAGAGCAGACACGATCTTTACCACAGGACATGGGGTTGTCAACTAAAACCAAAGTTTTTGACCTTGACCTTTGACCTAGGAAGTTGTACATACATTATGACACACCCTCTGGTGTTGGTTAATATACATGTCAAGTATAAACTTTGAAATCATAACAGTTCTCTAGATATAAAGCGGACACAATTTGTTACTGACGGACGGACAGACTGATCACTATAGGGCGTCCGCCATTCGGGGGGGCCCTAATTAATTTGCTGCTGTAATTTGATATCAACCAGCACCATTCTATCACTTAATCATTCCAGAGTTTATCGCCATCCAAAATTAAAATTACTTGCATCCATCTCATTGATTTTGTTTCTCCTTAAAACAAAAAGCTTAGTAATATGTAGTGTCAAAAAGATTTGTAATTTTGAAAATTTTGAGGCAAACTTTATTTTTTTTTATGTTTTTCTGATACTTGCAACTAACAAATTCGACTTATTAGTTTTGCTTCTCCCTTAAAACAACAAGCCTAGTAAAATGTAATGTACATAACATTTGTAATTTTGAAAATTTTGAGATATTCCTTTATTTGCCTTGGAATTTTTTTGGGTTTTTCTGAAGAGAAATTGAAATATTCATGTCACAACCAATGTAAATATGTTGTATGTTGGAAATGTTAATTCTTTTGGTCTACTTTTTGATAAAAGAATTGGAAAGGAAACACGCACACAAATGTCCATCTTGTTCATTGTGAATACATACAAAAGAGTAATTTCTAGTCTCCTATTTTACAAATAGTTGTAAGGGGGTCTCATTGGGGGGGTTCTGATCACGGATCCCCCTTACTGTTTTGTCAGATTCCCGTATCCCGCTTACACTATGTACGTAAGCAATTCTCATTTTTATATAATTTCTTGTGTCCCCCTATACTTCATTTCTTGTTTTCACGCCACAATAATTTGACTTTCACGTGTCACGCTTACAAAAAATCGTCAATCCCGAGACACGCTTAGACCCCAATGAGACCCACTTGTAAACAAGGCTTTTAGACAAGTATGTAATAAGATAAAACAAAGTCTTATGTAATTAAAGACCATGTCCAGAAAGCTTCACTTTTCCAAAGAAATATATTCAATAAGGAATATTACTAATTGCATTTGAGATTAAATATCGGACGTTTAACAGATATTGAATTTCGAATATCAAATTTCTTATATTAAATTGCAAATATTGAATTTCAGATATTAAATTTCCAAATCTCATATGATCCTTCTGGACTTCACTAGCTGCAAATACCAAAGTTTTATGTCATAGACGTCTTTACAATAGCACAAAAAGTATACTTTAAGAGTCAAATGAGAAAATCAGTCCATGCATTAATATCTTAACTATCATGTAAATATTAGAAAACAGTTTTGATTTTAATAAATGGGTTCTTTATCATAAGAGGAATGGTGCAGGAATGAGCTACTGGGTCATGAGAGGCACAATGTCAGTATAACCTCCAAACTCTCAGGTCAAAGTAAATATTTGACCTCAAAATACTGCATATAACATATAATACTTACTGCCGCTTTCTCATAGAATAAATCCCAACCAAAAATATCAACAGATTCATGAAAATCTATTTCATAAAAACTTGACATATTTTAACAACATCCGATATGCAGAAAACAATAAATCCAGATTATATTCAAACTCACATGTTGTGGCGGTGAACCGCCATTGACCATGTTCACAGTAACACATTCGGCAAACCGAACTCGTGACGGGTTATTCTTCAACTTTGCTTTTTTGGCAGCTGTTAACAAGGCAGATTTCCTAATGGACTGAAAAATAAAGACAATAATTTGATAACTGGACATATTTGCTGATTTGCCAATATAACACAATACCTCTTTTTTTTTATTCTAAAGATGTTATCTGCAATTTAAAAATATCAAATTAGACAAATCACCTCCAAGTTTGTTTTTGAAGTATTCTAATTACTAAAATTCCTTTAATTACCAGGTTTGAATGATTTAAATCATTGTTGTGTTTTAATTAACAATTTTATGGCCGGTAAACATACATGTAAACAAAGAAATGGAGCCACAATTAATAACAGTTAATATTTTTCTTGTATTTAACTATAAAATAGCTGAGGGGCAAATTAACCATTGATGATTAGGGGTGTATAATACCCGTAATGAATAATATTCATTTCCTCAATTTTGGGGGGATATACACTTGCATCCCTTAGATTCCCCTCCCCAAATTCTAACTGCCTCTTAATCCATCTGCTAGATCTGATCAATTCTAAACATCCATTAACAGAATCACTCTTGCATGAAATGTAGGTCATTGATCCAACAAAATATCCTTCCTCTATGACTTGTAGATGTTTAGATCTGGACCCTACAGCAAAACTTAACCAGTCATTTATGTGTAAAATAAAGACTAAAAGTACTAAATTTTTGTGGTATGAAAACTATGCAATGACATTTTTAAGAACTTGTTGTGAACTCACAATACCCCCAACCCCTCACCCACCCGTATAAAGGGCAACAGATAATGACCTGATGGCATCGTTTTTTCTGTCTATTTTAAGATATGATTATTTTCGGTGTTTATTTCAGGCAGATTCAGGAGTGGGTATATGTGGAGGAGAATGATTGCAATCTGATAAAAAGTATAGGAGTAAAATAGCATCAGGTCAAGAAAATGACTGACGATGGGTCAAAACTATATACCCCCGCTTATTGTAGCATGGGGTATAGATATCTCTTTCCTATTACTTGTAATTGCTTTTTAGTTAGTTTAAATATGAAATATTTGAATTATCCCTGAATTCAATTGCACATCGCGTTGCCAATGACTCTCCTCATCAACTGTGGAATTGGCAGCAGACGTCATCTTGCATTAGAAAAAGATGTTCCCACAACTTGACAATTAATCAGTATAATTTCTTTACAGATATAAATGACTTCAAACTATATTAAGCATTTTGTCGTTTAGGTATCATTTAAAATGAAAAAATGCAAACTCAATTAAGCTGCCTTTTTCATACATGCACACAAAGTTCATGCTATTCATATGTTAATAAAATAATACAATTTAAACAGTGCATAATTCAAATTTATATACTTTGTAACTGAAATATAGCAATATTTTAAATATATTTAATGAAATTATACATGCAACATATATAATTGATCTGACAATAATTATTTGATGAATGAGTGAACCTAAATATTTAAACTTCAAACTGTTGATACACATTCAATAACTAAGAATTTATACTATAATCTGAAAAAGACATCTAGCAAATGTAAAGGGTCAATCAATTTCATAAATAATTTGCATATTTAGATCAATAAGAGCAAGAATTTAAACTTTAATAATGTCAAAATACAACTTCTTTCATTTTCCAAAGGGATACTTATTTATAACCTTCAGTCTCCAATATTGTCTCTGAGAAATAAGGGGGTTGAGCGCTGGCACTCTAGCTGGCACTCTAAAATTACGGTATCAGGAATATTAATCGACAGGTAAAGAAAAAATATCAAGTAAATAAAATATCTAACAAAGAAAAGAATGAGATAAATTATGGATCAAAACAAACAATGTTAAACTCACAGCAAAACCATTCAAATTATTAAACTCAGTTTAGGTATAACATCTTTTTTTTGTAAATGGTTAGAAAAAATAACTAATTAAAAAAAGGAATAAGGCTGGAAAAATAGTTTCTAATGAGAATTATAATATCCATCACTGTAAAACTAAAACCATAAAATGAGATTATTTTAGAGCCGTGTCCATGATCAGATGTGTGATTATAGCAAGCTACAAATGATGGTTAAATTTACTGTTTTCTTATGACTAACCTGGGATTCCAGCTACATAAAAACAAAATTGACAGTTTATTGAATATAATATGAGAGTTTTATGGAATTGATATGAGTTAGCTGCACAAATATTCTGCATAAGAGTTAATTTGGACCTTGGTCAACCTGGCCGGCTGGAATATTTGACAAAAATATGATTTCAAAATAATAGCACTGTTTTCTTTTTTTTTTGTTTTAAAAGAAACAAGAGGCTCTCAAGAGTCTGAATCGCTCACCTGTATTTCAGAGAAGATTTTTAAATGTAAGCAAACTTGATGAACAAATTGTGTAAAATTGTCTTTAAAGGGCAATAACTCCTTAGGGGTCAATTGACAATTTTGGTCATATTAACTTTTTTGAAGATCTTACTTTGCTGAACATTATTGCTGCTTACAGTTTACATATATCTATAGTAATATTCAAAATAATAACAAAAAACTGCAAAATTTTGTTAAAATTCGGTGGCAGCAACCCAACAATGGGTTGTTCGATTCGTCTGATAATTTCAGGGCCAATAGATCTTGACCAATTAAACAATTTTAACCCATGTCACATTTGCTCTAAAAGATTTAGTTTTTGAGATATAAGCCAAAATCTGCATTTGACCCTTATGTTCTATTTTTAGCCATGGCGGCCATGTTTGTCTATGGATACAAACTTCGGATACAATTTATAAATAAGATACCCTAAGGAACATTTAGTTAAAGTTTGAAGGTAATTGGCCCAGTAGTTTCAGAGGAGAAGATTTTTAAATGTTAGCAAACTTGATGAACAAATTGTGTAAAATTGTCTTTAAAGGGCAATAACTCCTTAAGGGGTCAATTGACAATTATGGTCATATTAACTTTTTTGTAGATCTTACTTTGCTGAACATTATTGCTGCTTACAGTTTATATATATCTATAATAATATTCAAAATAATAACAAAAAACTGCAAAATTTTGTTAAAACTACCAATTCGGTGGCAGCAACCCAACAATGGGTTGTTCAATTCGTCTGAAAATTTCAGAACTGATAAATCTTGACCAATTGAACATTTTACCCCAAGTCAGATTTGCTCTAAAAGCTTTAGTTTTTGAGATATAAGCCAAAAACTGCATTTGACCCCTATGTTCTATTTTTAGCCATGGCGGCCATGTTTGTTGATGGATCAAAACTTCGGATACAATTTATAAACTAGATACCCTAAGGAACATTTAGTTAAAGTTTGAAGATATTTGGCCCGGTAGTTTCAGAGGAGAAGATTTTTGAAATAGTTTACGACGACGTACAACGATCACAGACGACAAACGACGACGGACGCAAAGTGATGGCATAAGCTCACATGGGGCCCTATGGGCCCCGGTGAGCTAAAAAGGTAATCATATGTACTAATTTGATATACTGACAGCATGTCAAATCTTTTTCTATAAATAGTAATATGCTCTTTTAAAGTTTAGACTTATACAATCTATTGATGCTACTGAACGTTTTTCGTTTAACTTATATACCCTTTAAAATTCAATTCGATTTTTCAGTTTCCTCACTTTACAAATTGCACAGTTGTTACAGCTCATCCAGCTTCTATAAGCCTAATGTGTATGCCACTGAAATTCTATTGATAACTTTATATACCATTTTTAAATTCATTTTGAATTTTCTATTTCCTTACTTGCAAAATTTCACAGTAGTTCATACAGCTTATTTAAGCCTAGCATGCTACTGTTGGCATCTGACAAACGATAATAGACTTCACAATTCTAAATATCACTTAGATTCAGACAACATAACAGCTTTACAATCTTTGCCAATTGATTGCTGTCCTAATCTCACTTTCTTAATAGCCTGATAATGGTTGATAAAAACTACAGGATGTGTTAATGACCTTTCATTTATTACCAATCAAAAACAGGATTTTTAATGACCTTTCATTTATTACCAATCAAAAACAAGGTTTAACAGGATTTATAAAGGATAAAAAATGATTGTATATCATTCCTTCTAGATCCATTTGAAAGTGTCTAGCAGTATATAGCACAATAAGAACAAAATTCCCTGACAACCGAAACAGAAGTTAATTTCTGGGAACTATTTTTGGAAATAACCTGTCAATAAAAAGAGCTGTAATAAGCCAAGTAATCTTCAGCCAAGGTGGAAAAGGAGTAGGTCCGGTAAGGGCCTATTTTGGCCTCAAATTTCAGGTTCATCTGATAAAAGATTTTGGACACTTTTTAAACACTTAAATGTCTACTTCAGTCGATTCAATTAGTTTCTGTGAAAGATTTGAACTGATTTAGTCGTTTTAGACGCTCAAATGCAAGCTTAAATATGGAAAATCTATCAAATATGCCATAATATGTCACTTTTCAGATGGTTCTTGTCAAAAATGAAAGTGGCCGCATCCGTGTTCACTCTCAACCTTTATATATGTTATGTATCATCATCAAATACAACATACATTTAAATATTAAGAATGAACACAAATGCGGCCACTTCCATTTAAGACGGAAACCGTCTAAAATTTAACTCAAATGCTAAAATTGGGAAGATTTCAGTAATTTAGCATGACTTAATGGTGCTAGTACCCGATATATGTGCATTGTATTGTCAAACACAGCCCATATTTATGTAGCAGAAGTATTCTACTTTCCAATAAATAGCTAAAAGTTTACACTTTAACAATTTTGTAAAACTGCTATATTTTTGGGCCAAAAAGGGGTCTTACCGGACCTACTCCTTTGTAACAAATGATGACCAATGACACTGTATCCTATTCACTAATGTGGTAAAATGTCATTTACTTTAAACTTGATGGTCAACCTTTTGGAAAACAAAATACAGGAGAATCTGACCATTGACAAATCATCAAGTAAAATCTGAAATCTACAAATATAAGGTGCGGCTTGATATTTTTTTGCAAATGAACAAATTAAAAAATGTTTAATTCTCAAACATGACAAAGAAATCTTTTAATTACATCCTTT